ACAAAAATTAAATCCTGTTTTATCAATTATTCTATATTACCATTTTTATCTCAATTAAATTTTAACATTTATATTCTTTCAAAATTACAATATTACCCTTCAAAAATTTTATTAGAATTTTAGATAGAAAGTATTATTTAAAATAAATTATGCTATAGTCTGAAATGATGTAACGGTGTTGGTATCTTAGTTTACGTTTAAGATTATTGTCACGATGTAACAATGTTGGTATCTTAATTTACGTTTAAGATTATTGTCACGTCATTTCATAATATCTCAATTTTCATCGGTTCAATATTTTAAAAGATAATTTTGAATCGCTTTGATGCTGCTTTCGGCAAAAGGCATGGCTGAGTCTTCTTCTCCATCAGTTCCACATGGAAATGATTGTGCTTCCACTTTGAATAATTTTGTGAAACCTTCGCCCTAATTCTGTGCAACAATGGCGGATCAAAGAAATTGATTCCCCAAAATGTTCCTTTTTCTTTCTTTATTTCTCACACATTTGGGCTCCTCAAATCACGCCCATAACATACAAAACATTTGGCTTTTCAGAGACTCCAAGGTCTTCTTCTTCTTCTGTCTTTTTTACTTAAAAAATCTTTAATGATTTCAACAAGAATCTGATCCACTTATATTATAATCTTCAGATTCCCAGACAAACTAAAGTTCAAGTGGGTTCATTTCATCGCAAATTATGGGGTTTATAAAATTCATCCTAGCTCCTCTGCATATCACCGGTTCATTATTATGCTATAATCATCGAGTTCTATAAAATAAGACAAGTTGTGAGAACAAAACATTCCTTACAATAGTGTAGAAATCTCCCTTCAGTAGCTGAAGAAAGCATTGAAGAGTAAGCTTAAAAAGGAAAATATGAGATAATAGAAAACCATCGAATTCTATAAAATAAGACAAATTGTAAGACAAAGCATACCTTGTCGTGAAAATCTTAATGGCACGAAAGAAAAATCCAAAAAAGACAATATCCACTAATAGAAGCCTCAAAGGAAAGGAAAAGAAAAGGCCAAAGAGGAGAATATCACCCGTAACTCAAGTTCAATTATAAATTTGAACTTTTTCATCAGTCCGTAGAAATAAATGTTCCATAAATTTATAACTTTTAGCAACAACTTTCATTCAAGATCTTATTGAAGACATAATAGATACTTGTTTTTTTTTAAAAAAAAATTAGAGATGAAATTTAAAAATGTTCTATCATCTGCTTGTCCAATATCATTAAAGCCTCAACCTGTATCAAATATTCAGACTCCCAATTATAATGTAAATGTCCGAAGAATCCAAAGGACTTAAAACATACAGAGGAGGGAGATTAGCCCTCAGCGGCTTTCACACCACTTTAGGAGTCACTTTCAGACAGTCTTTTGACATCAAATGCTTCAAATATCAGCAAAATGAGTGGGAAAAGGAACGAAAATTGGAGCTTCAATACAGAAGATGAACAAACTTACAATCTACTTTTATGAAGTCAGTTTCATCCTGAGCAGTAAAACACCAATTCTAAAATGCTGCCAGAAGAATAGTCCCAACAGCCAAAATGGATGCCATAATTCTGCGGTAGAAGATGATCGATATTATTCTGGAAGTACACAAACTCTTTTTTGATGTATTTTTGCATATGATGCCAAAATACTCCTCAGCTAAACAAATCAAGATTGAACAAAGGATGGGTGGTTTTATTTCTGCAAAGGCTTGGGATCTTTATTGGGTAAGATGTTGTCGGGAAGGATGAGTTCAGGGGGTGTTTCACGAACAACACCGAGCATCGAGTCATATTCTTCGTCCTTGCGAGCAAACTTCTTGCGGAGCACCTTCTCAAACTCAATTTCCTCGAAAGACTTTGCATTTTCAGCTGCGTGAACCTGTGCAAGGTTTAAGTAATTGGTGGCCGACTGAGATATAAAAGCTATCTCTTCATCAGTGAGCTTTCGGAGGAATTTCGCTGGATTCCCTCCCCATACCTGCACATAAACATTGTGGTAAAGCTCACTACCCATGTCCCCATAAAGCTAACATAGAAGCCCAAGTCCATGCTCCAATGCAAGTTCAGAGCAGATTATCATTCAGAATTAGTATCCAGGGTAACCAAATTATTTCAAGATATCCACTAAAAGGTATTGATCAAAGAGGAATGGAATTCCCATATTCCAGTTTGGGATTTAAGGCCGGATCTTTTTGATAGAGAGTAGGAATTGGATTTTCCCAATAGAGAAGTTAGAAACAGTAAGATTTGGCCCTGAAAAAGATGAACTTTTTGCCTCAACAGATCAAGATTTTTTGGGTGAAAAAGATGAACTTTTTGCCTCAATAGAAACAGTAAGATTTGGCCCTGATAGAGAACCTTGATTTGATTTGCAACGCCTAAATTTAAACTCTTCTCACACTAAATTTATTGTGAATAGCAAGGATCCCAATGTGTCAACTCTACCTTTGGTCTGTGACTTACAAGAGTTTAAATATGCATGATAGGACTCAAAGACAGAATCCTTATATAATTGCATGTTGCCTAAAGTTTGTGCTCTATATAAAAGAGATGAGGAAACAATGAATGAGTGGCACCTTCTTTCTACATTTGGAGAGGCTTTCTGTGTAGACATCAGAGTGGCTAATGAAAACTATCAACGATAGGTGGCTAAGCAACAAAGCTGAAGTACTATTGAATAGTACAATTAGAGCTTCTTTTGTGGTTCGATTGGATAGAAAAGAATGCTAGTCTGTACGATGACGAACAAAAATCTTTAGGCTGAGTCCAGCTTACAGCCTAAAGCTTCATGTTGGAGTGTCCTTCACAAGTCTTTGTAATTTCGTAGTTTCTTGATCAACCTTATTTAGGGTTGCTTTTTTGTAACCACTTTGCAGGAGACCTCTCCTACCTTGGCCTAAGAACACACGTCTCACTTTTTCTTTTTCTTTTTTTTTTTAATGAAAAATTTTCGACTCTTTTTCTTTTAAAAAAAAGTCTTGAGAAGTACCTCTCCAGAGGGGATCTTAGTATTCTGCCTCACAAGAGCTCCAGCAGCTACCATGGCATTTTTCTCAACAACAACACCATCAAGCAATGTTGCACCCATGCCAACAAAAGCCTCATCCTCAACGGTGCAGCCATGTAATACGGCACTGTGACCTGTCAGGTTTGAACTTTTTTTTTAAGTAAGAAAACTTGAAAATAATTAACATGTACAACCTCAGCATGCTCAGTTGCTCACAGTATACTGAACAAAAGATCAGACATAAATATATTATTTGGCTACAGCTAAGATGACGTAGCACACACACCTACGGTGACATTGTTGCCAATGATAGTCGGCAAAACCTTTCCACTTAGATTAGATTTTGCCACATGCACTAGGGAGTTGTCCTGTATGTTGGTTCCAGATCCCACACTGATGCTGTTCACATCACCTAGTCAAATAGATAATTAAGTTATGAAACAAAACTTACAAAGAAAATGTTCAAGTAATGTCATTGGCTAACAAGCCAAACATGATATGAATTAAATAACTATTTTAATTTAAGTTTGATACTGTTTTACAGATTGTCAATTTCAGACATTTTAATGAGAAAAAAAGAAACAATGGTTTTCTGTAAAGATTATGTTTAAAATGATTTGCTGTTCTTAAAAAATGGATCTCTCCTAGGACAACCAGTTTGCAAAGTTTATTTTTTCAAACAAATTAAAAAAACCAAAATATAAAACAGTTGACAATTTTTTCTATTTAGAGTAACTTTCCTAAAAATAATAAATAAGAGTAAACAGAACTACAAGGGAAACTAAGACATTCTCCCAACCTACAAAAACTGAAGGAGATGACAAAAAACTTTTCCGAATCTTAAAAGAGGAAAATAAGAACAATTTTTTTTTGATTTACAGCATCAAGAGCACAATTAAATCTCATCATCTCCTAAGCTCAGAAAAATTAGTAGTTTTCCCTGAAACAATTGAGCATTCCTCTCTAGCCAAAGCCTCCTCCAAGGAGCCACTTTCACTACACATTCCAAAGTCAATAGATGATAAAGAATAGTGAAAATCTTCCTGAACACACCAACTTAAACCAAAGACCCTCTCCAAATGGAGGAAAACACATGGTACGAGTCTTCTATATGTTTGTAGCATAAGCGATGGGGCACTCCAAGAAGGAGAGAGTCTTCTATATTCTTAATGACCATATATAAACATAAAATTTAACAAAGAATACAAAAATGAAAACACACGAAAATAACAAAATACTATTATTTTTTTAAAGTTTTTAAACTAAAAACTACTTTTAAAAATGATCCTACCAAAGGAGTTATATATGTGAACAATAAAATATAATAAATTCTAAACTATTCTCCCCAACGGATCCTAAGTTGACCAAACATCAAGTGTCAAGGTCAAGGTGAAAAAGGAATGCAAGAGCTAGCGATGAAGCACCAGCAAGTAATTATTTTTTTGACAGGAAAAGACAAAGCCACAGATATTTAAAGCATTTAGAATGCGCAACCGAAGTGGGCTAATGATAGTTGAAATGTCAACAGATACGGAGAGGCACTCTGGATAACATTGCAATTTATTAATAAAGAGAACAAACAGAAAAATATTTTTTTAACATGCCATAAAAATATCAAACACATCAAATAACACAAACTCTAATTACATTAGTTTTTACAAAAACCTTCGCATCAAGGAAGGAATATTAGTATGAGTAATATCCGAGTTGTTATTGGGATATTGAAAGGGCATGTATTTCATTAGTGAAATTGTTAGGTAAGTAGTGTTGTTACAATAGCTTGAAGAGGTTTAAAATGGACGAAAATTTTAGAGAGTCCAAACTTTCAAGGCATGTACCGACAAGGTTAAATGTGCACAAATGGACTAGGAAATACCGTAACAACAAAAGAGTCCTTCACATGGGTTTTACCTCTCAAAACGCACCCATACCAAATAGAAGATCCTCTTCCAACTTGAACGTCCCCAATAATGGATGCACCTGGAGCTACGAATACGTCCTTGTCAACAACAGGTGCCTTATCAAATATGTTCATCAGAGTACGATGCCTCGACACTGCAGGAAACCTCAGACATATTAGTCCATCAGGTATCATCAATGAGATAGAACACGAAAAGGGAGCTCATAACCAAATTAAAATACCACAACAAACAGAAAATGAAGCAAATCTAACAAGAGGTGTGTTTCAGTGACAGTGCCATCAACAATCACACTTTGAAATACCCAAGTGAGTCATATCACTAAAACTATTACTCCCAAAGTACACCTGCATTTGTAATTAAGAATTCCATTATATCCCAGTAAATATCGTTTGCCCGCATTTGACACCCTCTTATAAAATTATAGAAGCATTCGTCATACGTTGCTTCGTATACCGCCAACAACAATTCTAATAAAAATCCACAAAAAAAAAAAAAAAAAAAAAAAAAAAAAAAAAAAAAAAAAAAAAAAAAAAAAAAAAAAAAAAAAAAAAAAAAAAATCGTGTAAATCCGTAACCCTAATACTCGAAACCTCAGCCACTCAAAAATTGAGAATCAATGGGAACTCTGGCATAACCACACAAACTACGCGACGCATAAGCTGTATTTACCACGACAAACACTTTTCATCAATCAAATTCAGAGAACATCAATTAGCATTCCGACAAGCTGATCCAATCAGGATAACGAGACTCCTAAAACATACCTGGATGAAAGTCAAAATTAAAGGAGAAAGATCCGAGACTATAGGAACGTGCTATGTCAAAAAACAATAACAATAAATTGCTTACGCTGTTCTTGGAAGAAATATCTCCCTTGGAGGCGGCAGCCAAGACGATCGATTGCCTGACCCGTCTCACGGATCCAAAATCCAACGGTGTAAATGGCTTTCCCCAGAGTTCCCATCGTCTTCTTCTTCCTCCTCCTCTCTGACTTCGCGCTATTCAGAGCCAACCAAATCACTAGGAGCTTTTGGGCTTCTTGTACTCAGAAATGGAACGAGAAAGAAATGGGATCGCAGCAATAGGGTAATTTGGAAATCGATCTTCCGAAACGCTGCGTTTTAGTCGCCTGGGTCTTACATGCTACAAGCGCAAATTAATGCAACTCACCGTTATAAATTTTAGGTAATTCTATCGTACCTCCAATAATAAACCTATATATTTTGCCCAAATTATGATTTTTTCTTTTTAATGTCAATACCCACCAAAACTATCTTGAATTATTTCATTTATTTTGTTTATTTTTTTAATTAAAAATTATGATTTTTTATTATAAAACCCTTAAACTACAACGGACCCATCGAACTTTAATATCTCAACGACCAACTAGCAAAAAATAAATAAATAATTTCATTATTACACATCTACCTTCATGCACCGTCGAAAATTCTAATATACTGATAATTTAAAATATTGTAGGCATACTCTTAATCGTTCATATCGAGTGGCTCGTCATTCAAAACCGTAATTATAACTCAACGTGTTTTTCACACTGTGGCTAATTTAAACTGTAAATAAAAATAACTAATTTTTTACGTATAATAAAAAAATATAAACCCATATTAGTTGACGGGGCTGACCAACTAACTGAACTTAAAAGAATTGTCTCGAGCATGCATCGCTGCAACTACTTTAATTTGTCGGAAAGATATGAAGTTCGTGGATATCTGACATGTCATATATCGCCAACCAACAATATATAAAGTTGTTGGTTTTAGAGAATTTTCCAATGGTAAAAGAAAAAAAAAAACTAACGTCATAAATCAAACTAAATTATGAAAAGAAATTAACTTTTTTCTTTTTAGTTTTTCCACATATTAAAAAACAATTTATTTTAACGTAAAATGTATTTTTTAGAAAATAAAAATGAAAATTTCAATGTGTATATATTATCTTAAAAATAAGAAAGAAAAAAAATAATAATAATAAACCTAACATTCCATTTTCAATTTCAGTTTCCCCATTTTTTCCTCCTCGTGCATTACCATCAGATTATTATTACTTTTCTAAACCCTATTTCAGGTTTAGTCACCCCCTCCCTCCCATTTCTCGTCACTGCACACTGCACACTGCACGCCGTCTCAACGGCTGCCGCCACACGCTGCATTCTCAGCTGCCGCCGTCTCAGCCTTCCGCCGCTCATTTCTCTGATCTGCAAGGTTTTATTATTATTTTTTATTTATTTTATGTTATTTTCGTTGGGTTATGTTGGTTTATGCTCTTCACCCACGGAGGAGAAAACGAAGTATATATATATATTTTGTTGTTTGATTTGTTCTTCAACCAATGCTCTACTAGTCTGAATGGAAAATAAAAACTAAGAATTTATACCTCTCAAATTAGAAGGCAAAAGAAAAAAAAAAAAGGATTGAATCAGTTCATAAAAAGGGGAAAGAAGAAGAAGAAGAAGAACGAGAAGAAGAAGAAGAAGAAGAAAGAAATCCACCTGACGTTTAGTTGGCTATAAAAAAAGCTTGTTGAAAGAACAGCTGATTTGAAAAGGTTGAAACGATTGATATCAATTGAAAAATAATATATATAGAAAATTAGCCTTGAGTTTTTAGTTTATTTGAATTGGATTGAGTAATTGAGTTGAATTGAGACACAGGGAGTTGTTTGCATATGAACTAGCTAGCCTTATTTTTTGTTTTCTAAAAAAAGTATCTTATGGGGTAGAATTGGAAGCAGATTTTCAAAAATTCAAGATTTGAAATCACAGCTCATTTCAAATTCCTTGTTTTTTTTTCTTTTCATACAGGGCTAAGGGACCGAAGATGAGCCTAAATCATTTACTCCTTCGTCGAACACTGAAGAATTTTTTGAGAATCAATGGCAACTTACTTCGTCATCAATCGGCTGTCAACATCAATGCCACTCGCACTTTCATCACATCACCTTCATTTTCTTTGCTCGATCCACACTACGGTTGTTATTCTTCAGTTCCTCTCAGGAATTTTGAGCTTGGAAAATCAAATTCAATTTTCAGTAGGTGCATCCACTCCACTGTAACTAAGTTGAGTGATGCAGCAATGGAGCCAAAACTCGAGTCTGCAGATGTTGAGGAAGATGACGGATTAATGAATGAGTTCTTGTCCAGATTTGTCTGGATAATTCGCGGGAAGATTTCTGAAACATTTCCAGATTATGATAAGAAGACAGTCGATGCAATGCTTTTGATGATTGTGGAAAAAGTAGTATCTGAAATGGAAAAGGGTAGCTTTGAGCAGTCATTAAAGGCTTCAACTGAGAATCGAGATTGGGACCTAAGTGAGGATTTGTGGAAGACAGTAAGTGAAGTTAGCAACATGGTTTTGGATGATATGAAGAAGGCTACGAAAAAGGAGAAAATGAAGGGTTTTCTGCTGTCTGAGGAAGTTCAAGAAATGTGTAGGTTTGCTGGGGAAGTTGGCATTCGAGGCGATATGCTGAGGGAATTTAGGTTCAAATGGGCCCGTGAAAAAATGGAGGAAAGCGAGTTTTATGAAAGTTTGGAGCAGCTCAAAAAAGAGGCTTGTACCCAGGAAGAAAACAACGATTCTCCGAGCAGTGTAGAGGATGCATCCGAGGTGAAATCCGAGGCTGTTTCGCTTCCCAAAAGGCGAGGGAAGATTAAGTACAAGATTTATGGTCTTGATTTATCGGATCCCAAGTGGAGTGAAGTAGCAGACAAAGTCCATGAGGCAGAGGAGGTGTTATGGCCCCAGGAACCGAAACCAATATCTGGCAAATGCAAACTGGTCACGGAGAGAATTTTTTCATTAAATGATAACGAAGACCCATCGCCATTATTGGCTGAATGGAAAGATCTTCTTCAACCCACTAGGGTTGACTGGATCACCTTACTCGACAAATTGAACGAGAGTAATAGATTCTTATACTTGAAGGTAAAAAACATTTCTCTTATTTTCCCATCTTGCCTTGTGTTATTGTCAATTTTATTGTCCGTTTCAAATTTCACTCAGTTACCCTATTTATCTACACGTTGCTCAGTGGAACACTTTTGATTGCTGGTGTAATGCATTAGGGTTTTTTATCAGTGAATCTTTTCTACTCCATGTCAAAACGAACGACATAACGTTTGAAATTAGTAAGACCCTAAGTTTAATTCGTTGCTTATTATGAATGAAGGTTGCAGAACTTCTTTTAAGTGAAGAGTCTTTTCAGACCAACATCCGTGACTACTCTAAGCTTGTCGATGTCCATGCTAAAGAGAACCGCCTCGAGGATGCCGAAAGGATTCTTAAGAAGATGAACGAGAAGGGCATTACACCAGACATTTTGACAGCCACAGTTTTAGTTCATATGTACAGCAAGGTGGGCAATCTTGATCGTGCAAAGGAAGCTTTTGATACCTTAAGGAGTCATGGGTTCCAGCCAGATGAGAAGGTTTATAATTCCATGATAATGGCATTTGTAAACTCTGGACAACCCAAGTTGGGCGAGTCGCTGATGAGAGAGATGGAAGCAAGGGACATTAAACCCAGCAAGGACATTTACATGGCATTGCTAAGGTCATTTTCCCAACGTGGCGATATTAGTGGTGCTGGAAGAATTTCTGCTACTATGCAGTTTGCTGGCTTCTCGCCAAGTTTGGAGTCCTGTACATTGCTCGTTGAGGCATACGGGCAAGCTGGTGATCCCGATCAGGCAAGGAACAATTTTGACTACATGATAAAAATTGGGCACAGGCCTGATGACAGGTGCACTGCAAGTATGGTTGCAGCTTATGAAAAGAAGAATCTGTTGGATAAGGCTTTGAATCTTTTACTACAGCTTGAGAAGGATGGATTTGAGCCCGGGGTTGCAACTTATGCCGTTCTTGTAGATTGGTTGGGCAAGTTGCAGCTGGTCGATGAAGCTGAGCAGATATTAGGCAAGATCGGCGCGCAGGGTGATGCCCTCCCTTTTAAGGTTCATATTAGCCTATGTGATATGTACTCGAGAGCTGGGATTGAAAAAAAGGCGCTGCAAGCTCTCAGGGTCTTGGAAGCTAAAAAGGAGGAGTTGGGACATGGTGATTTTGAGAGGATCATAAATGGACTCATAGCAGGTGGGTTTGTGCAGGATGCTAAAAGATTGCAGGGTGTTATGGAGGCCCAGGGTTTTACTGCTTCCCAATCACTTCAAATGGCTCTGAGGACATCTCAAGCTCTTCGTGGCAGGAGACTGCCTTGAGATGCTTTTTCGACCATTTATAAATTTATTGAAAATTTGTTTCTACGGGCGGAAATGTGAATATTTACCATCAACTAGCATTCTATGGCAAAGCTAGTGGCTGGAAAGAATTGGCATCTCAGCATTTCTTTGTCAGGTAGTGTTATTTACCTTTGTTTTTCTTCTCCTAAATGCTTGCCCCTTCGATGTCATGTATTCTATGGCTACATTCATCATCTCTTGGTTCGATGTCAGGTATGCCGACGCATAACAAACCAACGTTTTCTTATTAATCATTTTTCGGTTCCTATTTGCTTCATGTCGTACCTCATGGGTTGGCTTAGTGATCAATAAGGGTCGTGGGTATAACAAAAGGTACATAGAGAGAATGAGTTTAATCCATGATGGTCTCGAACGAGGTTTTGGCACCCAAATATTGTAGAGTATTATTATCCCATGGGATTAGTCAAGGTGTATGCAAGCTTGTCAGGACATTCACAAATAAGTAAAAAAAAGAGACCGAAGGATTTCACGACATGCTTTAATAACTGATTCTTTTAAATTTTTTGCTTGTTTGCTTTACATGGTATCCACTATCAGGCTCTTGTCTTTCAATAAAGCATGCTTTCTGTTACAGTAGGTACTGAATCATGTGTTTTAAAATTTTTAGAACTCGAATTTTAATAGGATTCTCCTTTTATATACTCGTTTATTTGCTCGAGTTCCCCATTTTGCTGCTTTACCACTGCTTTGACAACATCTACTATAGAAATCATGCCAACTAGTTTGCCATCTATCACAGGAACATGTCTTGTGCGATTCTCTGCAAATGCCAAGAACTTCATCTAGATTATTCCCTTCTTAGATGGTCGTTGATGCAGTTGGAGAAGGAGCTGACTTACATTTTATATGGTAAATTCAGAATCTAGAGGACACTGTTCTTAGTATTTTTACCTGTCATAAGCTGCATTGCTTTAAGGATGTTCGTGTCGGACGTAACGGTTACTAGTTTGTCCTGTTCGTGAAAAATAAAAATATGTTAGTGAGAACTGTTGTTTGTAATCTGGTTTTGTAGCCTGAGGGAAGACAGAAAATAACCTCACAAGTCATTATTTCCCCAACTTTTGTGAATATGGGACATCTCCCATCTGCTATTATCTTCTTCAGATAGTCTGTTTAGGAGGACCATAAAATACAGCAATTCCCAACTCAATATTCATGGAATAGAGAACGAAAAATTTTGAAATCTTGATTTAATTTTTGGAATTTGCTTAGAATTCAAATGTGTTTTAGATGGATGGCAAAATTGTTGGAAATTTTTTTTTTTTTTTTTTAAGGAACCTATCATAATTTTAAATTTTAATCTATAATGCGTGTAATTTTTTTGTATCTTCAAACTTTCTCATTAGTATGCTCGTTTTATGACTAAAACATACTGAATAATGCCTATACGGGGCAATGGTAAGTTCGATATGGTGAAAAAATGCAAAAACTAAATATAAATCACACTTTGATGGATACTCACTTTTAGCACAAGTGAGTTAAGCCTATTTGTTCGGCTTACGGTGAACTTATAATTGTGTGACACTCACTTCTAGCACTAAGTGAGTTAAGTCTATTTGTTCTTGCGTCGCTTACGGCGAACTTGCGATTGTGTGACACTCACTACTAGCAACAAGTGAGTTAAGTCTATTTGTTATTGCGTCGCTTACGGCCAAGTGACGTATGCTCGAGCCTCTGGTCTCGATTAAAAAAGAAAGTTTTAGAAAATGGGGCCGAGCCTCTAGCCTCGGTTCTAGAAGAAAGTTTTAGAAAACGGGATAGAGAAATTTCGAAAGAGAGTTTTAAGAAAGTTTAAGAAAACGGGGTCGAGCCTCAGGCCCCGGTTCAAGAAGAAAGTTTTAGAAAACGGAATAGAGAGATTTCGAAAGAGAGTTTTTAAAAGCAAGATTTGAGATAAAATTGATGTTATATGGAAATATAAGCAAAAAGTCAACAACAACGGCTTACTAATATAATCGACAACGACGACTTATTACATATAATCGGGTAGGAGTTATTACTAACTCCTTCAATGTTATGATATTTTCCTAATACTATCAGCATTTCAGTTACCTCCTTCCGTTACAATTCCGGCGATGTGTTGTCCTTCAGGCTTCAACACCACCAACGATCCAACGTTGTTTCTAGCCATCTGCAGCAAAGAAAAATTCCTCAATCTTCTCAACAAGAAAAGCTTTCGAGCTTTTTGGAAATGGCGAAACCGAATCAAACTCACTACATTTTGCACGGTATCAATGGCCGCATCATCCGCACTGCAGGAAAACCACGAGGAGCCAATACTTCCATCTCCCTTTCTCGAAACGATCTCCGCCACGGTAATATTCTCCATACCTTTCAGTGGAGAAGACGAACCTCTTGATTCTGATCCTTCCAAAAATTTTTCCACTTGATTCGTTTCTCTCCTACACGAGTGCTGCGAGTTCGCGATCTTCAACGTCTCTTGCCACGATCGTAATGCTTTCACGATCGCCTGCATTTTTGGATCTGTTCACCAAAGGTTCGAATGAAAATCGTTAGTTAATTCAAATATTTTCTCGTTTGATTTATTTATGAGGATTGTTAAACGATATTTGATCGTCTCTGTTCAAGCGATTGAAGAAACCCGTGAAGATTAGCGCGGAAATTGACCTAGAATCTGGATTGGACTGTGATAGGAAGCTCCGTTGATGATGAACATAAGGTATGCTCTATATTCCATGGCGATTTGAAGTAGAATAAACAGGAATAACTTGCAATTATCATTCATCACATTAAGAAACTAATTTGATTAGTGCACATCATTCTTTGCTTTTGCTTTACATGAATGTCTTGCAATCATCGATCATGATCGATCTCATCACGGAACTAACTTTTCAATTTACTTCAATAATTTGAAAATGAAGATGTATTTCTTATAATCCCGTGATCATTCCCTTAGTTAGCTAATGTGAGACTCCCTCGCAACAATCCTCCATATTTAAAATCATAAACTTTATGCTGTTGTTCGGAGAGAAGGCAAGAGCCTGCCATATTCTTTGTCCAACAGAAAGGTAAAAGAAAGCTAAAGAATGAAGCTCTTATGCAAAAGCTAATTCAAAAGTTGAGCAATGTTTCTTAAGTATCCAATGCCAAATTATATATAGCTTTGGACAGGATGCCTTCAATCATAAACCCATCATTCCTTTACTCTCTGCATTCTCCTCCTCCTGTAAATGAGGCCATAGATGAAGCAGAAACTTCATCTTCACTGGCCGATACCGTGCCGAACATTCGGCATCAATCCGTCCAGTCTCCTGAGATAAAACCAGAACAGCCTCCTTTAGCACCAGCTCAGCCACCTGAAAGAACTGAAACTATGCCTATGCCTATGCCGCCTCCTGCCAATGTTCGTTCTAAGTCACCATCACAATCTCGAGCGAAAAACCAAACCCGACCGGTTTCCAAGCCTCCATCGCCATCGAAAACAACCCCTCAATCTTCAGTTGATTCCAATAAGTCCCCATTAGTATTAGGCAAAGCCTCTCCATCTCAGGAGGCTTCTTCAAAGCCTCCATCACCGGCAGCTACAGCTCCTCGACGCCGAATTGCTTCAAAGTCACCATCTCCGTCGTCGCAAGCATCACAATCAAGATTCAAAGCTGATTCTCAGCCTCCATCATCTTCAAGATCAGCATTTTCACCTCAAACTTCATTAGAAAACCAGCCTGAAACCAAGGAAGACCTGACATCTAAGAACAATTCCAATCCCCATTCGAACAAGAACTCTTCTAAAACCCCAATACAATCGGATCAAACCATAGAAAATGGCTTAGAAACCTCTCCAGAATCACAGGAACAGTCAAAAGAAACTAAGGAAAATCTGGAAAAGGACTCAAAACAGGAAGAATCCATGGAAGGCTTAGCCAAAGCTTTTCAGAAACTAAACATCAAATATTCAGACAAAGAAAACCCAAAGAGTTTCACAACACTCATAGGCAACAACAAAGGGGCATCAATGCTCTTACACTCCGGCGAACCCAAAGCCGATAGTTCAATCCACATCCACCGTCAGTATAAGAACAATCCAGGTCAAATCGCTAAAAGTTTCACAGAAATGGAAGGAAATTTCAAGCATAAAACACCCCAAGATTCAAGAACAGAAGAGAATCCAGCCCAAAAATTATATATCAACATCAATGTTCAAGGTATGAACAACTCAATCATGTTAGATAGCTCATTTACTGAGAATGATCCTGGAATCAATTTGAAATTCCCTCGAGAACCAACAAAATCCAAAGATGAATTACAGGTTGCAAAACCTGCCGAGAGGGTTACCCATGAACCCGCCGTAAGACGAAGATGCCTGAGAGGGCTGTTAATGGAGTCGAGCGATTCTGAGGTCGACAACCCAGAAAAGCCCCGACGCCATGGCTGCCGCTACTCTCGTGGCTGCAAAGGAAAAAAGGTCGAAACTCTGTAATCTCCATTGCTTCTGGGATTTTAGTTTCTGTTTTTCAGCATCTTAAGTGGTTGAAATTTCTGGGTTTTGTGGGAGTTTTGAGCTTTTATGGAGTTCTTCTTCTTCCCATTTGGATTGTACTCTGTTCTTGAAAGATTGAAGTCCAATACAAGATTGTTCTCATCTTGCACACGGATTCTGCCATGAAAATTATACCCAAATCTTCGGAACTAAAAAATATTTTCCTTTATATTTTATATTCCAAAAAAAAAAAAGAAGAAGAAGAAGAAAAAAGCATGATAATACAATAGCCATTGCCTTTATTTTGAAGCTAGAATTTGAAATAGTTGTATTAATGAAAACTCTCCCATACATACACACCACCAACAAGAACAGCTTAACTACCATAGAAATATATAAATATGGTGATGTGAATGATGGAAAAATAAGTAATAGAAAGAACATTTCTTGTTCCTTCTTCTGCAATCTTAAATATAAAATTTACACTTTAAATATAAATTTAAAATTTTAATTGAATAAATCTATAAAATTCAACGATTATATCAATTAATTTATTAGTGTAAAGTTCAAATTAGTCCCGTCCATTGGAAAGTCTATCACTTTTCTCTTTTGTTCTACTTTATAATTAGAATGTCATATAGTAGTTAAAACTTCAAAATCAACATTGTTAATAAAAAAAAGTCTGCTTGAAGTTGTTTTTCGTGTTCTTGTAACGATTATTTTTTTTTTTTGTGAAGGTTGTGATGGTGGCGCGGTGTCGAACAATAATTCTAAGGATGAATTTATTCTGGTAAGGTCGGGTTTATTTTGAGAAAAAAGTATTTTTTTTAAGTGAAAAAAAAAAAAACAAAAGGCGTTGGCTTTTTGTCAAATCACTAACGAATAACATTACAACTGGCGTTTGTTGTTTTAAAATAATACAAATTGCTTCTTTTTCAATTCTAAATGGTTTGTCCATTTTATTATTAATTATTTATTCATTTCTTTATAAATTAATTACTCTTCATGCGCCATATTTTCCTTAAAAAAAACTTTTTTATACTATGCTATATTTATTTATTTGATTCATAAGCTTTACCTTAATATCAATTTTCTTCATTGTGGGTCAATTTTGAGGTAATAAAAAACACATCAGGATTCCACAATTAATCTATAAATTTTGATTTTAATGTTGATAAAGCATATCAATTTAATTATTCTTATATTGATATTTAATATCTAATAATTATTTAAAATTTGTTTGATTTTAATTCAAACTTGCAAGTAATTTTGTTTAATATAAATTATTTGATAATTTTTTAGAAAATATATGTGCCACCTTAGTATTGAAATTTTTAATTTTGTTAATGATATTAATTTTTAAGAAAATTGATTTAAAAAGCTTTGATTTTACAATTGAAAAAGTGATTATCTTATTATTGATTTTGATCCTCTCAAACGGGTGGTTGAATTAGGTTGGATTAAAACTCGAACGGGTGACTGAATTTAGTCGAATTATAAGTTGTGTTCGTAAGTTCTTGTTTTAATAATTTGAATCTTTATAAATTCTATTAGTATAATAATTAAAATAAAATTGGTTGAGAAATTAGAAGGAAAATGAATAATTAAATCATTGGAGGAGAATTATTAGCATCACAAAAAAAAAAAAGAAAAAAAAAAGTAAACTAATTAAATTATATTTAATAAATAAGTCAACTAATTAATTTCCTATGTACGTAACATTAGAATAAATGGCTTTTAAGAGATAAAGAAGAAGGGTAAAAAAAAAAAAACCAATACGTTTATTTAATTTTTCCTTAATTGCTTCGTAGCAACAAAGAAAAGGTAAAATATTTACAAACAATTTCCTCTTTCATTTTTTTTAATTTACCAAAAAGGTCAAAATAATTTTTATTTTCCAACAAACAATATGGTGATTTTTTTCTTTTTAATTTTAAAATAAATAAAAGTATTCAGAGACTGAATTATATCCTACCAGCCTTAATTACTGTGCTTCTTCCAATCCCTTCAACATTGTCAATACGACTTTTCCAGCACCAGCCATGAACCTCCGAACCGGAACGGCGGCACCCGGAGCCGTAGTCGGAGACGGCGAAGGCGACGGGGATGTAATGGGAGTGGGAATCGTCGGCGGTGTGGTCTGTTGTTCAGCCAAAACTTTCAACATCTGAAATTTTCTGGTCAACCCCACAACTTTTCTACTCATTTGAAACCCTCCATTTTCGTCATCTGCAAAACAGAGAAAAAAAAAAAGGCTAAAAAGTGAACACAGAGCTATATAGAAGAATGGAAGAAGAAGAAGAAAGGAGAATGTATGTTACTAAAGGGGAGTTGACCGGGAACCGATGAGGGATTCGAAGTGTCGGAGAGGAGGAGGAGGGCGGGAGTGAGGATGGTGAGGAGAGACCAGAAGAAGAAGATTAACACATAAGCTCGAGGGTTCATTGGTTGTTGGGAGAAGGGAGAGGACAGAAGACGGCGGACGGCGGCGGCCGGAGGTGGGTTTAGCTTCAAAAGGAATATGTTTTCTTGTATGCTTTAAAAGCCAAAGGCAAAGGTAATGAATTAGCTGGCCATGGGGATATGCTTATTGCGTATGTAACAATTTTTTATTTTTAATTAATCTAATAAGAGAAGTCAAGTTAGTTAGTTGAGAACTACCTGTTGGGGAAGGTTTCTATCACTACTTTATCACACAAGTGGATAGATAATCTTTTTTTTTTTCTTTTTTTTTTTTTTGAAGAATTAAATAAGTTATTATTATTTTCGTCCTATAATTTAAAATTTTTTATACGACTTCAGCATCGTCCACTTTGCCATTTTAGAGCAAAAGAAGACTGACAAGCAAAGAACCCAACAAAAATATTAATTGGACATTTCATTTTTCCCCATCAGAAAAATAATAATAAAGATACAGACCAAAAATTATATGCCATATTCTTTAGTAATAGAGCCTACAGTCCTAAACAAGATAAACACGAAGAAAAACTAAGTATAGGATGTGTTGTGGTCTACAGGGAAATCAGAAAAACCTATTACAACATCCACATTACCACCAGAATCCCGAATTCATGCTTGTTTAGGAAACCCGAAAGAAGAATTCGAGTGCTGCACACTTTGTCTACTATTAACCAGAGGGGCAAGATGAAACTTAGTCTCTTGAAACGCCACTGCTACTTGCAGAAGACCTCTTTCCCGAATATCTCTGCCACAAAGCAAAGGAGAAAAGTTACATAGTTACAATATTGGGCCCGGGAAGCAGGATGGGCGTTCAACGACTACGGGAAAGAAGTTCTATCTCTCTGTGAGAGGTGTCTCTCAGTATTTTTTTCCCCTGATGTGAGAGTACATGGCTACAAGCTCACTAATAGCAGATATTGTTATCTTTGGGCTTTTCCTTCTGGACTTCCTGTCAAGGTTTTTAAAATGCGTCTACTAGGAAAACGTTGCGTCTACTAGGAAAACGTTTCCACACCCTTATAAAGAATGTATCGTTTTCCTCCCCAGCCAACGTGGGATCTCACACACTCTCTCTTTTTTTCTTTTTTTTTCTGGGGGGCAGGAGGGGTGCTGCTACTCATTTTGGCCAAGTTCTCCATCTGGAGGGGTGTGCTCTCTGTATCTATGCGCTGCTAAATGACTATTTACTAGCTAAGTTCATGTTGCCTCACCTGTTTTCCAATGCTGAATGGAATATATTTGTATTTGATCATGTGCATGATTTGGCGCTTCATTGTCAGGACAAATAGAACAATCCAATAGCAAAGAAGAATGGGCCAAAAAACCGGAACATCAAAGAGTGAGAAGAAAGTCATGAAGAATGCAATACAAAAAGCTTTGGTGATGGCGTACCTGAAAATAGAAAAGGAAAAAAGGTTTAAGAGTTCATTTAGTAATCAACACAACTAAATGATATCAGAGTATCTGATACTGCACATTTCACTCCAAAATCATGCAATGATAAAAATTTGCTATAATTTGACACTTGAATAGTCTTAAGAGTCCACTGTAATCATCAAAGCAAGCCAGTATGTAATGCTGCACAACTCACTAATAGTATCTAAAGCAGTAATACTCCATAAGTCAATTAATGTCCATCCTCAAGAAATGCCAAGTGTATGAAATAAGGATGACAATTGACAAGAAAATACGTGTTCCACCACCAAAATCATCAAAATCACCGCATGTCCATGCAATAACAAGTTTTTTGCAATATGTTTACACTTGGAAGGGAGCAACTTACAAAAAAAACGTTAATTCGGATATATCTTCCAAATATAAAGCCTGAAATTCATACGAGCCTATAAAATAAACATAAATCTTTTCCAATTGCAAGTTATATATAGATAGGTATAGATATACGCGAATTGTTTCGATATAACTTTTTTACAGACTGGGTGATGTCCTTGGAACCTTATCTAATACAACTAACTGCATTCCAATTACAACATTTCGAAATAAAGAGCGAGAAAAGAATACCAAGTGCTTCATCATATGATAGTTTCCAGCAATGAAATCTTTTCAATTATTGCTAGAAAAAACCAGAACAAGTTACTTGATAGCTAGCCAAAGCCATTTCCAATATTAAACGCAATGAAATTTCAATCGAAGTTACCAAAGTAGCTAAAGGAAAGAGGAATACCAAAACTTGAACTCCGGAAGTCGGCGTATGAACGGCCTAAACTCATCAGAACCTTTAGTAGGCAAGGAAGCTCCTTCTAAGACGTCGAGTTCAGGATCAACCTTGGGCGATAGAAAGCCAATCAAGAGATTCAAGATATAGATTCCCAAGCCATATGAAACAACATAAAACCCTTGAACATAGAAAACACGCAACACATAAATTGCTGCAACAAGAAGGGTTCCCAACCACCTCTGGACAGGATGAGGAGTGGATCGATCCAAGTAATACTGAAACGCTCTGGCAAAATCGTTTCTCCACTTGGCCAGAGGTGCTACTGGAGAGGCCGCGTCGTCCCCAACTCCTTCCATAAAAGTATATCCGCTAATAAATCCTTCAAATCATAAAAGGAACGGTATTAGGATAATAAAACACGATGAACAGCAGAATAAGAGCATCAATCTCATCAATTGCCCAGAACAGCAAAAGTCAAATGAATTGTGAATCTACAGCTTCCTTTCATTTTTCATAACCAGAAACGAAATGGCAGTATCCAAACCATTATCAATCGAAGTCCGAAAGAAGTTGGCTTAAAACAACAGAAATGGAATCGGAGATGGCAATAGTTCAGTAAATCGGAGAATTAGGTTTCAGAAAACAAATTGAGAAAGAAGCAGAAACCGAAACCTAACCTTGAAAGCCCGAAAAGCAAGGGGAAGAACAGTAAATGGACGAGAAGAGAATAGAAGAATTGAATCCAATCCGTATTAGGGAAGTAGCAATGATTAATGAAGTCGATTCCGTTGCCTCGTTTCTCAATCGCTTCGATTTTCTTTCCAAGCTCCCTCTGCGATAAAATATTCCCCCTATTTTTCAACCGGAATTCTTTTCTTATTTTTAATATTGTTTTTCCTATTATCATTTATCTCTCGCCTCGCCTCTCATTTTCTGACCTCCAGAAAAATCCGTGAAAATGATTTAATTAATTTAACAAAATGAATTTAAACCGGGATTTGTAGTCCATTATCATCCATTTATAATACCCAATTCATCTTACGAGAATACCTATAAAACAAGTCCTTATTAATTTATTTTTTATCACAATCTTTTTAGCTATCTATTTTACTTTTTAATTTAGGTTTCAAAGTCAATTTTAATCTATTTTATATTATTTTAATGGTACATCAGATATATCTTATTGTTGGATGATGAAAGTCCCACATCGGTTAATTTAGGGAATGGTCATGGGTTTATAATCTAAGAATACACTCTCCATTGGTATGAGGCCTTTTGGGGAAGCCCAAAGCAAAGCCATGAGAGCTTACGCTCAAAGTGGACAATATCATACCATTGTGGAGAGTCGTGTTTGTCTAACATGGTATCAGAGTCATGCCCTAAACTTAGCCGTGTCAATAGATTGGCAAATCCTTAAATGTCGAACAAAGGACTCCAAAAGGAGTCAAGCCTCCTCGAAGGTACGAAGGTAGTCATTGGTACGAAGGCAGTCAAAAATGACTAAGACTCCAAAGGAGTCGAGACTCGATTAAGGAGAGGCGTGCTTTGTTCGAGGGGAGGTGTTGGATGATGAAAGTCCCACATCGGTTAATGGTTAATTTAGAGAATGGTCATGGGTTTATTTAAAGTGGACAAGATACCACTTGACACAATCGCACTCTTAAAGGCAGCGGACTAGCGATTATGCGGCACTCACTTTCCAACGACAAGTGAGCTAAGCCAATTCGTACTTGCGTCGCCTACGGCCAGTATGATCGAGCCTCTAGCCTCGGTTTTAAAAGAAGGTTTTGGAAAACGAGGGTAGAGAGAGATTTTAGAAAGAGAGATTTTTGAAAGAGACGTTATATAAGCAAGCAAGAGAGAGATAACAACGGCTTAGCATATATAACCTTGGGTAGGGAGAAGTTGACAACTAAAGTGGACAATATCATACCATTGTGGAGAATTATTTAGTATATTTAGCCATCTTATGCAGGATCACAAAGAAAGTAATTCAAATTACAAATATTCGTTAGCTAAGAAAGATCACTCTAATGCAGTCAAATTCAATAGTTATATCAAATAAAGATATTTAGTATTTAGATATTTTAGTAATAAAGATATAGGTATTTTAAGAATTAAAATATAACAAGCCTCTACTATAAATATTTAATTAAAAAAAAAAAATCTAGGGGTTGACATTATCTTCAGGGTTACCATGACGAAAAGGAATATACATCCCTCGGGAAAAGGGTTTTTTGGTTATAGTTAGAGAAGACTGAACCTAGTTTGAGTAAAAATAGTGATATTAATCCAAGCTTTTAATGAGAAATCCTGAAGAACAACCATTCAAATTATAACTCTATGCAAATGTATAAGGGGATTTAAATCAAACTTTAAAATTGCAGCTTGGATTTCTTCACATCCAGCTTCAAACATGTTTGTAAATATTTATGAACCTTTTGTTCACACCCTAAGAAAACACCGAGTACAAACATGTTGAAGATTCAAGCCAAGTTCAAGGGACTGTTTCAGACCATAAGAGATATCTTCTCTTTACTATATTTGTCTTCAAATCTCAAAAGGATACCCATATACCCTTCTTCCACCTTCACTGTTGAGAAGAATATTTTTCACATAAAGTTGAAATAATTGGTCCATTTATATTTGTTGCAATAGAGAGGAGTACCTGAAGAGTATTTAACCATCCACATCCAACAATGCCTTTTTTAAGAGCTTGTGACTCCTCTAGAGTGGATGCTTTCCATTTAGCTGTCTTCCTAAAGCTTCTTGAACTGTGCTGGGAGTTTGTGTTCAATCTAAGTGCTCACAAAAAGCTCATATCTTACACTATTTCTGTCATCTCTTGCATCATTCCAAGGACCGGAGGATTTTGGTTTCGATCTTGACTTTGTTAAGCCTTGTTAAGCTTGCGTATCTGCAAGAATAGCTTCACCCCCAAAAGTTATCAAAACATCACATTAGTAAATATACTACTTCCAGAACTATGTTAGCATTAATTGGAGAGAAAAACGAATCATTTTTTATAAGGGTGTAGAAACCTCTCCCTAGTAGGCACGTATTAAAATCTGGAGAAAAAGCTCAGAAGGGAAAATCCAAAGAAGATAAAGTTCAGATTTTCCAAGACAATCGTATCACATCATAACACGATTAACTCGAAGATGCTCTTAGTTTGTACAATATTTCATCTCATTTAAGTAGAGCTTAATGTTTGCTCCTCTATGGGGCGTTGTATGGCTTGCAGGGGGTGTCAAGGCAATAGTTACTATTACCTCCTCTTGTAACTAATACTTAGTTTAGTAGTTACGTCACTGCTATATATTGTTATCAATGCTAGCAGTGATTGTTTATCACCGTACTCGGCAGTTGGTACTCTATAAATACCATTGCTCTTGAACACTTTTACCTATAATAACAATTCTCCTTGATGTGTTCAATATTTCTCTACTCTCTCTTTCTTTCACTTCGTCAAAGTCATACTTCAAGAAAACGTAATTGATATCAAATGTAGAAAAGAAATACACACAAAACAAAAGGTGCTACTTCGTCTTAAATATACTTTACAATGACCCTATCAAATAAAATCTTTCTAAATATTAACATTTATTTCTAACCGTGATCCAAAATCAAGAAAATCTTTTTCTCTAATAAACTCTAGTTAAAATGGTTAGATTGTATGGGATGTTAATTAGATAGCTAATTACAAATCTAACTTATAATCGTCATTAGCATTTTTTAGTATATTTGTGAGTCTTTGGACTAGTTTGCATGGTCTATTTCACTAGAAACTACCTTAATTACCATATTTAATTGACTAAAAACTAGTAGAATATTAAATGCTAAGAATATGACGGTTCTACTAAGCCCTTTATTACTTACCCTCTCAGGTCTGAATCATCACTAGGCAGTTTATAGATCTAACTTGTTAGATTACAAGTTTTCACAGTAAAATGTTCAATTAAATGCATTTACTTCAAAGTCATCTCATTTAGAAAGAAGTTACCAATATAAAATTAATTTCTCAAATTTTCATGGGTAAGAGTGTCCAGAGAACGTAAAAGCAGAGTCGGAGTGCACTCCGGAAAAAAAGGTAGGAATTTTGTATAAATCAACCAAAAGGAGACCTATACAATTATTCTTACTATTGGCAGTTAAAAACAATAAAGCACATATACTTCCAGAATAAAATCAAAGAAATGCAGCCAAGTTGTGTTAATTAATTATTATAAGAGAATTATCGATTAAGTCATTGCCCAACATGCTAAGAACTTTTTATTCCTGCCCAAACATTTCACCATTTACATTGATAGTTATAAGAAAATTATATTGGCCTTTTCTTTCTATCCTCTGGAATAATCAAGCATGAAGGATTTCTTCTATCAATATAGGTTCAAAATTATAATTGTGCCTAGAAGGATTCCAATAGTTGAAGATTCTTCTCAAAGAAGGAGATTTATCAAACCCAATGCAAGTTTCTACGGAACAGTTAAAAAATATAGGGCATTAAGCTTTTAAATTCGTGACTAAATATATATTTTGGTTAAAGAATGGTTAAAAAAAATAAGAGTAATAATGAAAATTTTGAAATTTGAAATTATTTTTTAAACTTTTTTTTTTAAAAAAAATTTAATAGTATTTTTAAAAAAATGTATTAAGTTCTTTTTTTTTTAGATTTTTTTAAAAATTTTAATTTAACCTGAAATAAAAGTTGGCCCATTCAAAGCCACGGCCGTAGAAGCAATATATTTTTAAAATTTCCAGGAAATACTTTGGTCTAAATAATAGTGCTATTAAATATAAATTTACTCCAAGTGGAGCAATAAAACTAAATCCAATGAAATCAGATAAATAGATTATATAACATATAGACGGATTTTCTTTTTAAGAAAAGGTGTTGCATACTTCGAGAGGCAATCTAGAAATGTAGTTGACTAGCATATTGGCCAAAAAGTTGCATATTTTTAATTACTTCTTACTTTAAGTGGGCTGTTTGGCCGTTTAAGATTGGAACCTGAATTTTAATCTAGTGGGCTACTACAACCTCTTTAGCACTGACTTTCGAACCACTTTCCTAATAAAACAGTCTTTTAGCCAATATTTTTCTATATATCTAGGCTGTGTAGTTACAAAATCCTACCCTAATCCTACCCTTAATGTTCATGAACTCTAATACATTTTGAACCAAAGTTTTAATAGTTTATGTCATTATTTTTTTTTTATTATTGTACATAATGGGGAGAGGGAAATGCAACATCAAGAGAGCAATTAGATTGAAAAAAATAAACAATAATAATAAATTCCAACAAAAATTATGCCTAGGGAAAAACCAAACCAAACGCTTATGACCGAATAAAAGATTAATAAAAAAAAATAATAAATAAAGATAGCACGCAAACATTTTTCAGTAATGAATGAATGAACAAGAACCATTTCTTTTTATATAAAATTTAAGAAATAAAATAAAATATTTAAAAGCGAAAGATTATATGTTTATAAAGTACGAATAAATGTAAAAATAAAAAATAAAGAAAGTCAGTCCTTACTTTCTTTTTAATCAATAAATAGATATGTACGCGAACAAGATTTCCCAAGTCCAAAACAGGAGTTTAGAAACAGATTTCCTCTATTTTTTTTCTTCAAATAATTAATGACCAGCAAGAACCAAACTATTCTTGAACAACAACAATAATAATCAAGGCCGCACAATTTGTTATATAATATTTAGGAAATAAAAGTGAAAGGCTAAACCCACAGTACTTTTTAGATTCTTGTGTCAATTTTTCTTTCTCCACTTCACATCCCTGAAAACTTTTTTCTACTTCGCATCCCTAAAAAGTTTCCATTGCTAAAGAGCCTATCGAATGGGGGCATTCTATAGGCTCTTTTAAAAGTTTATTTGAACATCAAAGCTAATGTTGCAAAAAGAGCTAGTACCAATGGTGGCCGTTTTTTCCGGTATAAAAAAGTAGTGAAAGATGGTCCTACCGTTCTTGGCTTAAATTTATTGCAAGTGGCGGAAGAAAATATGCAAGGAGAGCGAACCAACAATCCAAAGACCCGCTACAGCGAGGGAAGGTGGAAGTTTTATATTGAAAGCAGCATCTGTGTGTTATTTCTTAGGCTAAGAATTGGATCTAATCCCTCCACCAGCCTATAAATTCTCAAGAATTTCCCATTGCTGATGACGTGATGATATTATAAGAGACAAAAAACAGTGTTTGAAAAGATTTTACGACCCGTTTGGTCGGTCACTTGCACTACCTCAGGCAAAGGGAATCACCCTAAAACGTATTCTTCAACTTGTTTAATCCCACTACCATCCCCTTGAGTGTATAAGAAGCACCCAGAACCCACATTTTCACACCATAGCTCAACTTAGCCATCTCTTAAAACGGAGCCCAGGTCTCTTTATTACCATATTTTTTGTTCCGTGCGGCTTTCTTTGCAGCATTTTCACCTACTTAGATCATCATCGCCGTTCAAAGCTTTCCATCCTAACTTCATTTATACAATGGCAACAAGCCCTTTTAAATCTTCAGGCAGTTCTAGCTCCTCGTGGACGCCTAAGCAAAACAAAAAATTTGAGGACGCTCTGGCTTTATATCCCGAGGACACACCAGACCGGTGGCAAAAGGTGGCCAGGACAGTGGGTGGAAAAACAGCTGAGGAAGTAAAAAGGCATTATGATATCCTGGTGCAAGATCTCATGCATATAGAATCTGGAAAGATACCTCTTCCCAACTACAAGCCCATTGTATCCAACGGTACAGTGTATGGTGATGAGCAGAGGTAACGAGCTTTCTACTCTTAGGCGTCTTTTTTATGTCACATGTCAAGTCTCTATCCTACTTCCATTCTCGTTAGGTTATCAAGATCTCTGAGTATTTAGCTCATAGGGGAAAAGACCTTCAAAATAACGTGATTCTTGCCAGTAGCACTAGGAAAATAACTTTTTCAAGTAAAGATACTCATCTTTGTTAGGAGAACCAACCTCCCAAAAGAAATCGTAAGAGTAGCTTTCCTTTCTGAGTAGATGTTAGACATGTTTGCTACCCAGCCATCCTCAATTCACTTATCATCATTTATGCATTGAAAGTTCGAAGTTGTGGTCAGGTTTCTAATGTTAGATGAAAGTCCCACGTCGACTAATTTAGGGAAGGATCATGGATTTATAATCAAATAATACTATTTCTATTGGAACGAGGCCTCTTAGGTAAGCTCAAAACAAAGTCACGAGAGCTTATGTTGAAAGTGGATAATATCATATCATACCGGAGAGTATGTTCATCTAACATCTAATAGATCTAATAGTTCCAAGAATGACTGCAAGGTTATCTAAAAGGAAATAATCATTCCCAAATGAATTTCTATGAACAGTACGTGGGCGGAGGAGAGAAAGAAGATGCTATTTCATCTTCTTACAAAGTAGCTTGTCCGCGTGTCCTAACGTACCACGCTCTCTTTTCCTACTCAAGTAGCTACAACTTAAACCCAACACCGACAACTCTCATAAAAAAATTTGTTTTTATAAGGCTTCATGCTATTCCTATTCATGCATTCTCACTTCCCCTTTCTAAGAAAAAGACAACGTGAAATCGAATCTCCCATGCTTTAAATTACATGCACATGGTCCTGTATTTCTGAGTTCAGACATCTACGTATTTATAAATCCCTTCTTTAACATTTGGATCTACTTCAGTACTAATTAAAGAACTTTTAAGCTAACGTGGGTTGCGTTAATTAAACATCAAGTAGGCCCAAGAACTCGCCGTGAAGTATACCACTGCTTCCTAGTAGAATTAGTTGTCCATATATTCACATTTAGAAACATTTAACAAAGCTTTCTATCGTTCTCTTTGAACTATTGCAGGCTCATGAAGAATCTAAAGCTCCAATAAAGAAGAGGTATTATACCGATGATATAATAAGAGCTGCAGAAGCGTTGTTCTCGATAATTACGAGAATATGCTTGGTGTCAGTGTTTCTCTACTTTCCCGCTCTGTTTGTCCTTTCAAGCATGTAATGCTAACCTGTGAAGCCAACTAAACTATTGTAAGCCTTAACCTGTTTGTTCAAGTACCCGATAATGCTGCTTTTGTGTACTAGTGTGAGTACTGTTTCATTCGCTTTCCAATCATTATAAAGGAGCATCTTGCACCCATATTTTTGCAGCACAATCGAACTACAGAGAATAAAAAACTCACAAATATTTATAAAAAGGTTTGTCACCTGACAATTCGAACTGTAAAAAGATGATGTATCACAGAGTGCACCAATTATTTCAAAAGAAAAGAATATCATGCCATATATACGTTTGCTTTTTTTGTTTATATCTTCAAATGATACTCCTATTCTTCAGGCTCGCAAATGTTATTGTTACGTCTAATCAGTATAGAGTGGAGGGATCAATTCAATTATTTACTCACCAGCGTTTCATCAGCCAAGTGATCAACAGAACATTTAGAGCCAGAATAATAAGTGAACAAACGAAAAATAAATAGTGATTGAAGAGTCATACCGTAACTTCTTGATAAGTGTTATGTAAATTTGAGACAGAATGAAATAGCTTCTTTACTAAAATCTGTGCAAGAAGATGACCGTCAAACCACTTCAAAATTCTGAGGTAAAAAAGAAACAATAAAATTTGAGGAAGGTTATGGATCAATGATTCAATACTAACTTCAAGCCGAACAATTACCAAATCAGTCATCGCACTGAGCTCTATTTCGCCGACCTGTAGACGAGGTTGCCGCATGTAGATCCTGATAGCAGAGATGAGTAACTTTTCTGATAAAATGGATTCAAATGACTGATCGAACATTTCATCCTGAGTTGAAAAACGAACAACAGTTTGAGGAAAATGTGAATGAACATAAATTTCGATGTGAACAGACATCAAGAACCAGAATCGACACGGAACTGCTATTTATGATACGGACCTGTAGACGGTGAAAACAGGGCGAGAGTGCAGCATGAACGCCAGGAATCCAATGGAATAAACAACGTTGAACGAGTAGCAGATGAAGCAAGAATGAGGGATTGGAGGAAGAAGCCATTGAAAGGCACAATAAGCTCGAAGCAGAAGGTGGAGATGGAAGAAGAGACGATTGATTTGTATTGATTCTTCTCTCGATTAGAAGAAGACGAATTGGCGGGAAATCGAAGTGTGGCGCGCCAAGACGTTCAGGTCTCCCTTTTGTTGATAGCTTGGGAAGCCACCTTAAAATCCTGACCGTTGGTCACGTATACAATTGGAAATATATCTGACGATTAGATCTCGGCCGTTGATTACGGCAACATAAATACAGAGAAATGGAAGCTTACAAAAACTAGTTTCTTCTATTTCGCTTCTTTTCCTACGGCTCTCTTCAATTTTCTCCTTCTCTCAAGCTAGGGCAAAGTGGTATTCTCTCTTCCGTTCTTAATAGATCTTGCGCTCTTCTTCTTGTGCATTTTGATTCTTGGAATGAGTTTTCCAAAATTTCTTCTAGTATTTTGATTCTCCTGCTGTAAATTTTCTTCGCTTTTGGGTTTGAGTTTGGGATTTTTATATTCGGTGATTGATTTAGACGCTGCTCGTTGTATTATTTAGCTGATATTGTCGTTCAGTATATGTTCTGTGTAAATTCTCTTCAATTTTGCGTTTGATTTTAGGTTTGCGTCTGTTACCTGTGTATTGAATGGCTGATTTTGGCTCTGTTCAATGTATTCTTTATCTGTAAATTCTCTTTGATTATGTGTTCTGTGTCGATTCTCTTCATTTTTTGGTTTGGATCTGTTTTCTGTGTATTCGGTGGCTGATAATTTCCCCTCCGTATCTGTCCTTTTTTCAAGCATTTCAGCTTGATTTGGATCTTCGCTCAGTTGCTGTCAAGAAACGCAAGGCAAACTCCAGCGGCTAAGGAACACTCGTGTATTCAGGTCTGTTTACAACATACTCAGTTTTTTGCATCGATATTTGGCCATGGATTTAGGGATTACTCGTCATATTCAGCGCAAAATTTCCATCCATATTAGGAGGTATTTATGAACACTACTCTTATATGGTACATTATAAACACAAGAAATGGAGATGCAGGGTATCGATCCCCGTACTTCTTGCATGCTAAGCAAGTGCTCTATCATATGAGCTGCCTCCCCAATTCATTATTCAAATATATGGGAAACACAAGGCACGACATATCCTAACGGCTAAGGAACACTCGTCATAATCAGGTCTGTTTATAAGTTACGTTATATTCATGTTATGAACTGTGGCTCTTACAAAATGGAGAGGCATGGTATCGATCCTGTAACTTACATGCTAAGCAAGCACTCTACCATATGAGCCACATCCCTAATTCATTATTCCCGTACCTCTTGCATGCTAAGCAAGCACTCTACTCCCAATTCATTAGTCAAATATATGTGAAACACAAGGCAAACGACATGTTCCAACGGCTAAGGAATACTCGTCATATTCAGGTTCGTTTATAAGTTACTCAGTTTTGCATCAATATTTGGCCATGGATTTAGGGCCTTTGAATTTGATCCAAACCCATCTAAAATGGAGATGCAAGATGCAAATTATCAATTCTCGTACCTCTTGCATGCAAAGCAAGTATTCTAGCATATGAGCTACATCTCCAATTTATTATTAAAATATATCATTTGCATAATTATAAAATTCAATAATTTAAATTGAATAAATGTTTTTAAAAAATTATTTTGATCCTAAATTATTTCATTGTAATTATTTAAAAATATTCTACCCATAAAATTGTTCTAAATGATTCCTTAAAAAATACCATTGTAAGTAATTTGTTATTTTGCTCCATTTAATAAATATTTGATTTTTAATTTTTAAAATATGCCCGTTTTATTAAAATGCATCTGCAGAAGTATACATTTAAATGTTTAGCAACATTTCATAAACAAGACAATTTTTTTTTTAATTGAATTTTGATTTTGAAAACACTCAAATAAAAGGGATAACATTTTATTAAAACCATTTAAAAGTATTTTTCTGAAAAAAATTAATAGAGTTTTACAATTATCAATAATTAAACTAACCAAGAAGTAGAGATTTTAAATATTTTTAAAAAATAAATATTGAAGCTGAAAATAACAATAAATATAATACAACTCCCAAATTATCAATAATTAAATAAACCAAAAAGGCTGAAAATAACAGGTTGAGGTTTGTTTAAAAAAACATTATAATGTTCCACGTCATAACTACCCATCATTATAAGATGGGTTCGATATTTTCCGACACATAAATCTAATGTATCTTATCGTTTAATAATAATATTGCCATGCATAGATTATTTTAATAATTACAATGATTATTATTATTATTTTCTTCTACCTACTTATTAAATTATTAATTTTAAAAATAGCATTAAAAAATAACCATAAAAACCAAACCGTCTATGAACTTTTTAACACTATGTTTGAAAGTTTATAAATATATAACTTTAGCCATTTTAAAAATTAAATTGATATTTTTTAAAATCTTTAAAAAAATTATGAATATATTTTAAACAAAATATTAACTAAAACTAACAGAAAATATATTTTTTAAGTTTAAAAGTATTTTTTAGGTAGATGATATTTTTATTAATTTAGTAATATAATAAATAAATATATATATATTTTTTTTTTTACATTCAAACGAGGTGAAATCTCGGGAAAATGAATTTTAAAAAAGCATGGAAATTAGTGCCAAAAATGATGGATTTGGGGAACAAATCTAGAAGAAAGTAGGGTGATGAGTTCAGCATTTCTGCAACGATTATCAAATTAAATAAACAGAATAATCTTTCACCTTCTCATCTTTGCAACGCCGCCGCCACACTGTGATGGTCGTCGCAGAGACCACTTCCGCCGCTGCCGCCGCCTTTAACGTGTGAGACCAATACTCTACGAGCCCTTGTCACTTGCTCTTCAACAGATGGATCATAAAACCACCGTCTGCAACTTCCTCCGTCCAATCAACTCCCTTTTGCTTCCCTCAAATCAAATTTACTCCCACCTGATTCCATTCCTCCAATGAAGGAATGACCGACGGAACTGTTCAAAAGAGGGGAGAAAGGGGGTAATGCCACCTCGACCAAAAAAATTATTTTTAAAAAATTGCCACATCAGCTCCTGCACTATTTAAACTAATTTATTTTAAGTTTGCAAACTAAAATATTAATTTTAAGAATAAAAATTATTTTTAATTAACATATTTTCGAACTTTACCACCTATTATACACCTTTTTAATTTCACTATCTTTTCTGAAGTGTAATATCACTCTCGAATAGTTAAAATTCTATAAGATAAAATTATAATTTTACCTTTGAATTTAATTTTCATTTAAATAAATTGAGTCTAAAAAATATTTTAAATTAAGGGTTAAATTAAAAAAATATATATTTTGTGTAGGCTATGCGTAGCCCTATTTTGTATGTACCCCTCCCCTATTTTTCAACCATAAATAAATAAAGCTTCAAGTCAAATCAGCTTTATACATCACACTCAATCTCACACATCCCTCCAAATCCAAAGGACTCTTTTGGGGCCCTCACCATTAATTTTTTAATTCTTTTTTTTTTTAATTCATTTTCTAAACCATTTAAAATATCTATTATATATACAATATTTAAAATATTCATTTAGCTTATTTTTCAAAAATCAATTTCCACTTATGTTATAATTCAACCTCATCTAACTTAATCTAAGTACAACTCTTCACGGCCCCAACATTTTTATTTCTCAAAAAAAAAAAAAAAAATTAATTTTTTGTTCGTAAAAGACAAAATTTTGTTCAATATTTTTAAAAAAAGAATAGGTGCATGCATCTCAAAACTTCAATTATCAATACCCATGTTGCTTTCCATGTCTATTATATGAGATATGATTTAGAACCCATTTTAAAAACTAATTAACATAAAGTAAATAATTTATTGGTTAATTATTGGAGTAATTAATGGAGACATAATGGATAAGAAAATAAAGGGTTATTAGATGCATAAACTAATTTGGAAAGTTTTATTTTGAGAAACTTTTACTTGTCCACAAATAACTAACTTACATTTTACATTTATTATTACTTTATAAATTAAATATAAGAGAGATCATAATACATTAAAAGAATATTTTTTTTAGAATTTGAAATTAAAGAATTTAAAAAATATATATTATTTATGATGAAAAATACAATAATGCGAGTGTGTCAGGGTTTGGACCATTTGATTTAGTAGAGGGAATTTATTTTAAGTGGAAATTGAAGGGCTTAAGAAAAGGCCCCATTGGTCAGAAAATAAATTAAATAATAAAAAATTAAAACCATAAATAATTGAGGGCTTAAAATTAATTAAGAGGAAGAATCACAAAAGGTCTGTCTGACATGAAATTGTCTTAATATTCTTTGAATTAATATAAAACCTTATATTCCCCTAATTAATTTTACGTGATTCTTACCTTCTTCTTCTTCTTCTGGCATTGGCTTACGATTCACTTGTGACGACGGTGCAGGTGCCGACGTCGACGGCGACGGTGGCGGCGGCAGGTTCAGGTTCGTGATTTTCGATCGGCTTCTTCACTGTGTTTTTGTTGTTGTGCATCCAGACTTTGAGGACTTGCCGTTTCACTCCCACATCGCTACAGAATCTTTCGACGTCTTCTTCGTCTTGCTTTTGTATCCTCCATCCGACTCTCTCGGCGAACTCCAGCATCCGATCCTTTTGTTCTTGTGTGAACTTTGTACGGTACCGCTTTTTGAGGGAGAACGAAGACGGCGGCATCACCTCGGCATTCGAATGGAAAACGTTCAAATCCTCGCTGGAAGACTCGGTTCCGCCGCCGCCGCCGTAGGCGACGTTCATTGGAGCGATTATCGGAGCATTAGGACTGGAATGGAGGTTCAATGCCATGGAGAATTTATGGTGGCCGTGGAGAGCGGAAGGGGACGGCAATGGCGCAGGAAGTTGGAGATGGTTGAGCATTAGTCCTCTTCTGTAATTAGGACTGATGTTTAATTGACTCTCGCCGTGGATTTCTTTCCGGTGGAAGTTCCGGTGACATTCACAAGCGGCGCATTTTAGAGCCTCTAGGGTTCCGTCTTCTCCGCTTGGCATAAACTCTCCGCATCCATCGTATATATTCCCCCCAACGCTCGCCGCGTGATTCTTCAAACATTCTCTATACCTAACTCCAGAACCCGCCCCCCGCGCCTTGGATCTACCGCCAGATGAAAAACTACCTCCACCTCCACCTCCGCCTCCGCCTCCGCCTCCGCCGCTAACTCCGCCGCTACCACCGCCGCCGCCACTGACGCCGCCGCCATTGCCAATATTCTCTGCAGTAGCCGCAACACAGTCGGAATCGTGGAGGTCGGTTTGGATATGATGATGAGAGCCATTATGAATCGACTCTATTCTCCGGTCGACGACTCCTCCGGACGAGGTTTCCCCAAAAATATGAGCGTAACCACCACCGGCAGAAGCCGCAGGTATTATTACGTCCTTCTCCTGCTCTCTGATATCCATGGAAGTAAATTTCGAAAACCCTAAGCGCACACACACACAGAGATTAATGAACAAAATCTCAGATCTCGCAGATTAGAGCTTCAAAAACGAAGATCGAGGAAGCTAAATCAAAGTAATCGAACTCCCTGCATGCTGATTTATCAAAAAAACTCCATGAAATTAGAAAATTACAAGGAATTAGTGGGACCAAAGGGGGAGGGTTGTGGCTTGTAAGTGAGAATCGGAAGCCAGTTTAGAGGAGCATGAACAATGAAGTCTGAAGAGAGAGAGAGAGAGAGAGAGAGAGAGAGAGAGAGAGAGAGAGAGGGGGAGAGAGAGAGAGAGAGAGAGAGAGAGAGAGAGAGAGAGAGAGAGAGAGAGAGAGAGAGAGAGAGAGAGAGAGAGAGAGAGAGAGAGAGAGAGAGAGAGAGAGAGAGAGAGAGAGAGAGAGAGAGAGAGAGAGAGAGAGAGAGAGAGAGAGAGAGAGAGAGAGAGAGAGAGAGAGGGGGTGGGGGGAATNGGGAGATGCTTGAAGGGGTTCCAACAAGGGACAGTTTGGTTGCTTAAGGAGAAGCGAAGGAGAAGGGAGAAGAGGGTGGGGGTGGGGGAAGGGGGGAAAGGGTAATTGGGGAATTTTGGAAAAGCTAAAATGGCACCCAAAGGGAAGGGCATTACACAAAAACAACCGACAACGTCATGTTCATCCCTCTCCCACGCCCTGCCATAATGGGACCCAGAACCCACCCCCTTCATTATTGCTCTCTCTCTCTACGCACTTTACCATGGTCCATCACAATGCCTGTACGCCTATACTCATACCCCCCTCCCCTTTGATGCGACGTTACTTTGCTTTCATATTCCCTTCCCTCCCCTCTTACCCCCCTAAACCCTAATCTTTCCTTCCTTAACCACTATTTATTTGGTTGGGATCGTCTTAACAACGCCTAGTGTCTGCCTTTAATACAATTTGTAACAGCTCAAGCCCACTGCTAGTATCGTTCGTTTTGACCCATTATGTATCGCTGTCAAAACGCATCTACAAGAGAGAGAAGAGGTTTCCACTCCCTTACAAGAAATGTTTCGTTCCCCACTCCAACCAATGTGGGATCTCACAATCCACCCCATGCTCTAATATCATTTGTAATAGCCTAAGCCCATCGCTAGCAGATATTGTCCACTATGGCTCGTTACATATTGTCGTCAACCTCATGGTTTAAGAACGCGTTTGTTAGGAAGAGATTTTCACGTCTTATAAAAAATGTTTTGTTCCTCTCTTAAACGAGGAATCTCACGTAAATAAATCTTAAAACTTTAAATTCTAGCTCTAGAAGAGCAATAAGTTTTTAAATACAAAATTCAAAGTTTAAGCCAACGTAATAGATAGTATTAAATTTATATGTAATGTAGACTGTTATGTTTTGATTTAATTTATTTGTTGTACCTAAGAAGTAGGTCTTTGCATAGAGGAAGTATTTTCGACATTAATGTAGCAAGTTAGGTGTTGAAATTGATTAATGAAGAATGAATTATGGTAGAAAAAAAAACGTGAACTTGTGGTGGGAAAATATTGAACATTTAAATTTGAAATATATAAATTATAATATTTTAAAGTGTTAAGGACTAAAGTGAGTGAAATAGGTAGGAAAGATCATTTATGACTTTTATTATTATTTACACACACACACACACAAATAATAATAATAATAATAATAATAATAAATAAAATATTGTAATTTTTTTTTTATTTACAAATTATTTTGGCTGGAATAATTATTATATGATGTTATTCAATATTTTGCTTTTGCTTTCCAATGTTCAGTCTAATTTAATTTATTTGTTTTGTTGTTGTGTAGGTGACCTCGTTCCATTTGTTGGTATATTATATTGGTCCCATAATATTCAAACCAAACCATGCATGAAATTACAAAATAACGATTAAATACCTTAACTCATCATTATTATTACGTGACGCTCTATTTTTTTCATTAATCATTTAACAATAAAATAAAATAAATAAATAATATATATATACTAATAAAATTTAAAATTAGAGGAACCGGGATTGGAGCAGCGCGCTTAGCTCAGCCAATGTCTTCCACCTTTGTGTGATACAATCGATGCCTTTTATTTGTCTTTGCTTTGGTACTTCTCTTACTCTTACGGTTTTATTATTATTATTTTAATTTCAAATTTGGATCCGGCTCTATATGTCCGGCAACCGTGCTACCAATACAGGTCTCGATTATAGATAATTTGTCCTCACTCATATGTATGCATATATTTTTCTGTAGGTTGTCTATATAAATTTTTTTTAAGTCAGACATGCTTAATTTGAAGTTTATATGTTTGGGTGGTCGAGATTTTTTTTTTATTATTAATTTAGCTTAACTTTCACTTTCACTTTTTGTAATACAATCATGATTCAAATAATTGATTATTAATTTAAATTATAATCCCAATAATCACTCATTGATGCTTGTAATTTTTTAATTTCTAATATTTTAACTCCACACTTTATGATGGGCCCATAAACGACTTCGGAAAATTAGGCCCAATTGTGTTTTGTTTGTTAGTTTATGATGGGCCCATAAACTTCGGAAAATTAGGCCCAATTTTGTTTTGTTTGTTAGTTTATGATGGGCCCATAAACGACGTCAGGATATTTCCAATGGGCCTAATGCTACAAACTGATAACCAAGAAAAGCAGAGAGCCTTATTTATTTATTTATTTATATTTATATTTTTTTTTTTTGTGTATTAATCACACAAGGGAGTGTTTATGAAAATTAAAGAAGCGAGAGCAGAAGTGGACGATTTCCATCTAAATCCTTCGTAACGCCGCAAATTGTTCCAAATTTGACGGCCATTAACACGCTCATTCCGCCGCCGGCCAGCTTCTCCTTCGCCAACCATCTCTTTACCTTCCCCGACGTCGTTTTAGGGACGTTTCCCCTTTTCACCAGAACCACAAGCCCTAACTCAATTCCCTCTTCAATCAACGCCGCTTTTCTAATCCCTTCGCAGATTTGCCTCAGCGTTTCCGCGTCGTTTTTGTCCTCTCTCTGCATTTCGGCCACGACGGCGATCGTATCGGATACCTTGATGGCGGCGAGGCAGCCGCCTCGGAGATAGGCGGAGAAATTGTTGTAAGCTATGGATTCGATGTAATGAGGGTGGATTTCTTGGTTGTTGGTGAGTGTAATGACGTCTGAACACCGTCCGATCACGAAGAGGAACCGATCGGCGCCTTTGATTACTCCTCTGTCGCCGGTACGGACGAATTTATGGCTTGATTTGTTACTGAGTTTGCAGTGGAATGTGTCTCTGGTTAGCAATGGATGGCCGAGGTAACCTGAGGCATTACTCGGCGACGAGATCCAAATCTCTCCTTCAACGCCGTCGTCGACCATCTCCCCTGTCTCGCCGTTAACAACCACCACCTCAATCTCCGCCGACGATCCATCCGTCAGCCTTGCACACGGCAACAACTTCCGGTAACTCGGCATCGCCGGGAAGCACCGCCGCAGGCCTCCTTCTCCGCCGCTCCACGCCGTCGAAACAAAAGTGCTATTCTCCGCCAAACCGTACGAAGGCGAAACGCAACCCGGGTTCAGCCCGACCGCCTTAAACACATCCACAAACTCCTCGACTCCCGACCGGTAAACCGGTTCATTAATCAAAATCAAATTCCTCAAACAGCACAAATCCAAATCCCCACCCGGAGGAGTTTCTTCCTTCACCCGCTTGAGGACGAGTGGGAGAGTGAAAGACGGCACGGGAGTGCACGTGGCTTTGAAGGTAGTGATGAGGTGGAGCCATGTGATTGGACGGGTGACGAAGGAGATAGGAGAGGTTAGTACGCACGTAGCGCCACTGACGACGGTTAAGAGAAGGAACATGAGGCCACAGTCGTGGTACTGTGGGAGCCATGAGACGATAACGTCGTTTGGGTTTAAGTCATAGGCTTTTCTCGCCGCTCGGACGTTGTGAGCAGCGGCGCCGGCTGTAACCACCACCGGCTTTGGAATTCCGGTGGCTCCTGAGGTGTATTGGATTAGATAAGGCTCCTCTGGCTTACAGCCGTAGTATGAGGAATTGGAGTGATAAAAGAAGGGCCGATCTTTACTAGAAATTACTGAAACCACTTGATCGGCCTCCGCCGCCGTGCAAGTTCTTAAAGTCTCCATTGATATCCATTGCACGCTCTGCAACAACAATGCCAACTTCCCGTCTATCTGGGACGAAGAGAGGTATCTATACAATAATAAATAAAATAAAAGAGTATATTTAATATTGAATATATATATCATGTTTCATTTTTTATTATAAAAAAAAAGATATATATATATATATTATAAAATGTTTGACCTTTTTATTATAAACAAATATCATAATTAAGGATATTTTACGGTATATATATTATATTTAACTTTTTAATACATATAAATATATTGTATGATATTTAACATTTTATTACGATTTATCATAGATATTATATTTCATTACGATTTATAATAAATATTACATTTGATTACAATTTATCATAGATATTATATCTATTTGATTATATAATTTCTATTTTTTAAATAATTTATAAGTATTATAAATAGAGAATTTCACTATGAGTGGATCTTTTCAGCAAATATTCTATATATTTTTTTATAATTTATTTGATTATATAATTTCTATTTTTTAATAATTTATAACGATTATAAATGGAGAATTTCACTATAATTCTTATTTTATAATTGAATAGGTGGATGGTTTCAACAAATATTCGGTAGACACCCTAATCTATAAACTAAGTTTTACGATAGTTCAAAACATACCGGAACACGCTAACGATGTAAGGTTCGTGAGCTATGACGGCGCGGGGCTTAGTCTGCGAGAGGGCTCTTGCAAAATGGTGACAATTTTCATTCTCAAAACAAGGGTCGGGCGGGCTGATTGGGACGCTCACAAGGCCAGCTCTTTGACAGCCATAGATGAGCTGGACAAGGTCGAGTCCTGGCGAGCACAATACAATTACCGTGTCGCGCCGCCTTACCTGGCGGATCAACTGCTCGGAGATGAACTGAACGGAGTCGTGAAGTTGTCCGTATGTTAGAAATGAGCCTTCATTCAGGACGTCGGCGGTTCCGTCTTCCGACCAGATGAACGCTGGCTTCGACCGGAACGCCGGAAGGCTCGCCCAAACCGGAAGATACAAGTCAACCACCGGCTGGTCCGGGAATATGGGATCAAAATTCTCGTACGACATTATCTGTTCTCTCTTCTTTGAAACTGATTTGCCGCATATTGGCCAATTTATACTTAAAAAAGCGTAGGTAAATTGCTGGTTAGTCCCTTTATTTTGTCTAAATTACAATAAATACTTTTCAACTTTTGGTGGTCTAAAAGGGCACCAATATTATTTTCATAGATAAATTTAACTAAAAATGTTTATTTAATCACAGTGAGTCTCTCACATAATGGGCTAAAGCGGACAATATCTAGTACTGGTGGGGTTGAGCTATTACACATTGTTAAGGATATTCAGTAATAAATTTATATGATTATAACCCGGATAACTTTCACACCATTTAGGTGCGGTGGATTAATCAAACATTTCAACCCGTTAAAGCATCTAAATTTATTAAAATAAAATAGAAAAAGAAAAGGAAAAAGGTTAATATTGAATGAATTATTGAGGATAAGGAAGAGAAGGGAAGGAGTATAAAGGGATATACCATAAGAATATGTGATATTGAAATGAAAGCTGCCAACTACAAACAGACGCCATAGGAAATAGAAGAGAACATTATAAAATTATGTGTTTTCAGAATCTGGCTTGTGATAATAACTAAGATGAAGAAGAAGCAAACCCTACCGATCACCCCGGCAATCTGACAAATGAAAACAGCCATATTATCTTCATTCATATTGGGTGACGTATCATCTTATGTTGATTGATCAATCAGATCTAGTCGTCCGACTCATCCCTAAACTCTATGACCCGTCTAGAGTAAGAAGGGGTAGATGGTCGGGAATTTGGTAATTTTACTTTCAATTGCATAACAATTTAGTCTATGTACTTTAAAATTTGTCATTATTTAGTCTATGAGATCTAACATTGGTTAGAGAGGGAAACAAAAGATTCCTTATAAGGGTGTGGAAACCTCTCCTTAACAAAAGCGTTTTAAAATCGTGAGACTGAGACTGATAGTAATACGTAATAAGTTAAAGTACAATATTTACTAGTGATGGACTTGAATTGTTATTTTGACTTGTGCAAGACAACGACTCCTTTTCACTTGAATTATGCAAGTCATTGCCACTCCATGTGTCGTAAATGAACGAAGAGGAGTTCTTCGAGGTTTCTCCGTCCCTGAATTGTATGAAACACTATGCCTCTTACTTAGGGACTGGAACTAGCCTGCCCAAAACAGAACCAGAATCGTAGACGCACCTAATAAACGGGATAAGACAATGCATGCTCAGAAAGGCTTTAGCCCTGCAGCAACTTTATGAGTGGAATCAAGAGTATCTAGAACATGCTGATGGAGAAACTTAGCTATCCAAACAAAATCGATCTTAAAAACCCTGAAAGAACATGGGTAGTTAGTAATAAGTCTCTTTCTTTATTTTGTGATGATCCCAATTTAAGCATGAACAAACCCAAACTAATTAAATGATTGTGCCAAAAGTTCCCAAATTGGGCCATATTTTCATTCGACAACTCTACCGTCTTCATATCACCCTTTCTTTGTAATATCCCAAAATTAGGTAAAAAGTCATTAAATTTTGAGATTTGGTTTTAAAACTTTCAAAATTGCAAATTTAATTTATGTTTTTTTTATTAAAAAAAAAAAAAATTGAATTCAAGTATATAAGATCGCTCGACAGACGATGATTTTGAGCTGACTGACATTATCTGGAATTTTGTAAAGATGCATCTTAGAAACGTGTCCGTATATTCAAATCTGAAGTCTACAAAGCTAAGCGGTCGAATAATTAACAACGCAACCTGTTCCACAACAATATCAGTCTCAGATTCGACCGAAGTCGCCAAATTGCCAACCAGTCGCCACGATGCTGCTCAGAAGGTATGGCCCAGCAGAACGAGCCCACAAAATTATACATAATCTATTTCTGTATGCTTTTGGTGAATTTGTCTGGTTGTGGCCTAATTTTAGAGAGATGGATTGAAGGAGATGATCAGATTGAAATATCCACTGTTTTTTTCAGTATCTATATAATTGGAATTCATTGTGGCATTTTTACAAGCACCTCGCGCGCAAGATTGGGGAGCTGCTGATCTTCGTCAAAGAGGCTATTGGAGTTGGGGTTTGAGAGAGGGATGAGTTTCAGGGATGATAGTGAAGATGGGAGGGACCTCAAGAAGCCCTTTCTGCACTCGGGGAGCTGGTATCGTATGGGTTCGAGGCAATCCAGTCTGATGGGTTCATCTCAGGCGATTCGTGACAACTCCATCTCTGTTGTTGCCTGTGTTCTTATCGTTGCTTTGGGCCCTATCCAGTTTGGCTTCACGGTAACTCCCTGTCCTGTCTAATTTTCCAAATCTTTATGAGAATTTTTTCATGGAACTTAAGGATCAGATAGGGAAGAACGCTTCGATTTCTACCGGTTCTGTTGATTCTTTTAGCTTAGATATTCATTGCAAATTGTTGATTCTGATGAACAAGCATTCAGCGTGAGCATTAACTTTGCAGGGAGGGTATTCCTCACCGACCCAATTTGCAATTACTAGGGATCTTGACCTTACTGTCTCGGAGGTGTGTCTGTTGTCTGCTCTGTTCTTTCTTCATTCTACATTTGTGAGCTACAATCGTGTCTGACTTGATTCACCAAACAGTTCTCTTTATTTGGTTCTTTAAGCAACGTTGGTGCTATGGTTGGGGCTATAACCAGCGGTCAGTTGGCTGAGTATATTGGGCGGAAAGGGGTAACATTTGGTTCATTAATTCCTCTTGCTGAAGCTTTTCTTTTGTTTGGAGTATCAAATCTAGCTTTGATGTGCTTATTTCAGGCCTTAATGATTGCTGCAATTCCCAATATCATAGGATGGCTTGCTATATCATTTGCGAAAGTAAGTTTGAATGAACACTGTTTCATGTGCAGTTTGGCAGCATTCTATCTATAACCAATTTTCATTGTTTGTGTAGGATTCTTCTTTCCTCTACATGGGGAGGTTGTTGGAAGGATTTGGCGTGGGGATAATCTCTTACACGGTGTGACTTTAATTTCAGCTTCGTTATCTTAGATTATCTTTTTACTGAAGGGACTTTACGTTCCATTCTAGGTCCCGGTTTACATAGCCGAGATAGCACCCCAAAACTTGAGAGGAAGTCTCGGTTCGGTCAATCAGGTTGGATACATTTGGTGTTTGTACCGCGAATTGGTCTAATTCTAACCATATATCAACTCAGCTACTTGAACTTTTTGTGGTGTAGCTGTCTGTTACCTTGGGAATACTGCTGTCTTATCTGCTGGGACTATTCGTTCCATGGAGAATACTTGCAGTTTTGGGTAAGTAGTTATCTTGAAGGATTGAAGGATCTATGTTAGTGCTTGTTGTCGTTTGTTAATCAATGAAGATTGGAGAGAGGAACGAGTCTCAACAAGGACGCTGGGCCCCAAAGAGGGGAGGATTGTGAGATCTCACATCTGTTGGGAAGGAGAAGAGAACATTCTTTATAAGAGTGTGGAAACCTCTCCCTAGCAAACATTTTAAAAACGGAGGGAAAACCCAAAGAGGACAATATTTGCTAACGGTGGGCTTGAGCTGTTACAGATGGTGGTTTGTGTGATGTTAGAAAGTTCTTCACAGAGGGTGTGATGTTGTGTTGAACAGTTTTCTAATGCAATGCTGTGACCTCATATGTCTTCATCTTCTTCTCCCTCTCCTTTTTAACATCAGAAATTACAGATATTAATTGATGAAACATCACGACACACTTGGTTTGCAGGAACTTTGCCTTGTACAATATTGATACCTGGATTGTTTTTCATCCCAGAATCTCCAAGATGGCTGGTAAAAATCATGACATCAATGTCTCCAACTTGGTGAAGCTAAATTTTAATTCTTTCAGTTCTTTATATAGTTTTTGGTCAACCTTTAGGCAAAGATGGGGATGACAGAAGAATTTGAAACATCTTTGCAAGTTCTTCGCGGATTTGATACCGATATTACTATTGAAGTAAATGAAATCAAGGTGAATGCACAATAAATTCAATGAATTGGTTTTTCCCTACTGTCAGCTACGAGTCATGCCAGTTCATGAAGAACCATGGAAAGTATATCTATCTGTAACTATGTCACACCATCAATCCAAATAACTGATTCCAACTTAAATGATGCAGAGGTCTGTAGCTTCAGCCAACAGAAGAAGAACTATTAGATTTGCAGATCTGAAACAGAAACGATACTGGTTGCCTTTGTCGGTAATGGCTTGAGATTTGGAAGATTCTGTATATTTACATTTAATGGTATGCGTCGAATTCAGGAACTTACCTTTACTGCTCTCTCGCATTATGCAGATTGGTATAGGATTACTTATTCTGCAGCAACTAAGTGGAATTAATGGTGTTTTGTTCTATTCAAGTACCATCTTTGCATCTGCCGGTGAGTAAATAGATCTTATATCGATTGAAGAGGGGAACAAAGCATTTCTTATAAGAGTGTGGAAATCTCTCCCTAGTAGACGCGCTTTAAAACTGTGATGCTGACAGCAATACGTAACGAGCCAAAGCGGACAATATTTAATAGTGGTAGACTTGAGCTATTGCAAATGGTATCATAGCCAAACACTAGGCAGTGTACCGGCGAATTCGCTGGCCCCCAAGGGGGGTGGATTGTGAGATCTCACATTAGTGAAGAGGCGAACGAAGCATTTCTTATAAGGATGTGGAAACCTATCCCTAGTAGACGCGTTTTCAAATCGTGCGGCTGACGGTGATATGTAATGAGCCAAAGTGGACAATATCAATATCTGCTAGCTGTGGACTTCAGCGGCTATAGTTTAACTCTTAAATCTCCATGCTATTGTTGCATCAAATGACTTTTCATTGTCTCATTTTTAAACAGGTATTACCTCCAGTAATGCAGCTACAGTTGGCCTTGGCGCTATTCAGGTAGAGTCTATAATTGATGTCCTTAGTGACTGATTTTCACCATCTGAGCTATGCTTTTCAGCAATGACTTGCATGTTTTTTAGGTTGTTGCCACTGCATTTACAACATGGGTGATTGACCGCGCAGGACGTCGTCTTCTACTTATTGTGAGTTTCATGTTATTACTCTTAATTCTTTCTACTAGTCTACATCTTTGTTGATTATCTTATAATTTTATTTCAGATCTCCTCTGGCGGAATGACTCTTAGCCTTCTGATTGTTGCTGTGGCATTTTTTGTGAAGGTAAACTAGTTCTTTTTATGTTTCTTTCATAGCCTCAATATCTTAGTGCATGTATCTAAGCTTTGTTGTGTTGCAAAATTGACGTCAGGATGCTGTCTCTGAGGATTCCAGTTTGTATAGTATAGCGGGGATCGTATCGGTAGTCGGGGTTGTGGTATGTCCAAGTTTACACATCGTTTAAATTAGTTGCAAAAGTTTGATCCTGTGAGTCAATAGGAGATATCTTGGTGCAGGCCATGGTTGTTGCTTTCTCTCTGGGTGTTGGAGCAATTCCATGGATCATAATGTCTGAGGTATGCCCCTTGTGCTACTTTTTCCTAAAAACCTTTCTTCTTGTTCCATTTTTATGGTTGAATTGCTGATCGGAGTCGGACTATGAAAAGGGTTTGGGAGTTGTAAATGTTTTCGGTCCTAGTTCGTCTAGATTCTAAATTGGAAGTGTTCATCCAAGCATCTTGTTACGAAATCTGAAAAACAGAACTATTTCCACGCAGTCTCTCGATTAAGCCTTTACGACGTTTCGTCGTTTTTTCCCCTCTTTCTGCTGTAAAATAAAATAAAATAACCTTGAATTTGTGAAGTAGAGGGGTTTGAGGCTACTAATCTGTAGTACTCGGGTGCAGATTCTTCCTGTGAATATCAAGGGTCTTGCTGGTAGTATAGCAACACTAGCCAACTGGTTCAGCGCATGGGGAGTCACTATGTCTGCGAACCTTCTCTTAGGATGGAGCAGTGGAGGTATGTTTCTCTCTCTTAGAACTTTGCAATGGCAATTGATCCTCCACTGATATTTACAGTTCACATCTTAGTTCTTTCTAATAACTGAATTAAAGTCCGAACTCGTATGTGAAAAATAATAATAACGCTCAAAATAAGCATAGTGGTTAAGACAACTCTACTCCTAAGATTTGTACGATCAGGTGGTTGTCTCGTGTAAGTAGTTGAGTGCTCATGAGCTTACTCGAACCCTCACAAAATAGAAATAGTAAGCATAAATCTATGAGTTTAAGCTCTAATGAATATCATATGAGGCAACTCATGGGCATGGGTTTGACAGGAACATTCACAATCTACATGGTGGTGACTGGTTTCATGGTGCTATTTGTTACTCTTTGGGTCCCTGAGACCAAAGGCAGAACTCTTGAAGAAATTCAGTTTTCCTTCAGATAAACCATCTCTCTCTTTTCCTCTTTGATTTTTTGGTTAGAAAGAGCACATATCTGCTGCCATCCTCATCAGACTCTTTCTCTCTCTCCCAAACCATAAAGTCTTCTCCTTGGTTTTTTCTCATCTTAGCCAATAATTTTGTTTACACTAAAATTGATTTAATATATGCTTCTAGTTTTTAGTTTTTGCATTGTATACATTTGATCTTATTAATTACAATTGTGGGGTTAAAGTTTTGAACCTCCTAGATTGTATGTTAGTTATCGTTGAACTAAGCAGAAAGAGTAATTTTATCTATGATAGAGAATAAACGCCTAAATATCATTCCAGTTTTGAAAATGTTTATTTTAATCTCACGGCCACTCACCAACTTCCACAACTTCAGCCAATGAAGTGCTTGGCGACTGAATAGGATGATTGCCATAGCCCGAGATTTGGTCAGAAACACCTTGCTCACAGCTGAGAACTTCCAAATGTTTAAGGGTATCGGTTGAGCTTGTTGAAACTCCAGCCTTAAAAGGAGGGCATTTCTATAGCAGTTAAAGTGGGACTTGCACTTTTGTGAGTGAAGATGGACTCACAAATCCAACGGAAACTGCTGATTTGGCCCCATGCCCTTGAGCTAAAAACAATCTATCATTCTTTCTTAAAAATTTAACTACAAATTAAAGAATGCTTTTAAACATTAACAAGTGAAATGAAGTTATCAATCAATCTTAAATAAATAAATAACTACATACACTTATACACATGTAGGTAAATAATCGGTTGGATCAAAACCTAAACTAATCCAACTAAGTACTTCAAAAAGAAAACACCTGGCTTCCTCCTCCATCTGGAGATTCAAATTTTTATACTCCACATGAAATTTTTTAATTATCCAACTTCGAATACAAACTAGAGAGGTAAGATCTTAAGCGATATCCAATATCCCTTCGCCCAGAATAGGATGGCCCAATAACAAACCAATCAATACCTTGCCTTCAGCCAGAACTACGGAAAAATATCTATCTCTGAGGGCCAAACAGGCCTTAAAGGAATGGAGAATCAACGGCCACGTGCAGAAGAATCAGAATCAGAAAAACATTTGCCATGTAAATGAATAAAAACAAAGGTACCAGGTATTACTGAAGTAGTATGCCAATTTCAATATCCGAGCTATGAGCCACTCAAATGTGATCGCGCGTCTTTTTTAGTGGAGCCCTCTTCCTCTTCTCTTCTGATGAAAGACAGCACAATAGAATCCACAATAAAGAGAGATAGAGCAAAAATACGAGATTTAATGCACTCGTGGAACTTATATACTCACTCTCCCTTATCATTAAATTGAGCTTTTTTTTTTAAGCATTGGTTGTTGTGGCTCTCTTTCCTTATCCCATTCCATAAAATCCTGCTCTTTTTCCTTGCGCACACCTTGTTCCTACAAAAACAGAACGCATTATCTGCTTCCCTATTTCTTATCATTTCTAACAGCCCGTTTTATAATCGAAGCATGACTGATAAAGAGAATGGTTGGCCAGACAACCCAGGATGGTCTGAGCTAAAACTTCCAGATTTGTTATTGGTAGACAGTGTACGTGAAATCCATGCCAGAATTGAGGCTGAATGGGATTACCTCCAACGCTCGGCATGTCAAATGGCAGCAGGAAGAGCGCTTTGGAAGCACGTGATCCATGATCCACTGGCTGAGTTACTGGCTGGAGAAGCATGCCTAAGAAACCTTCATGAGAAAATAAAGAAAGATCGAAGCAACAATGCAAGAGAGATTTCTGGAGTGATTCTTGCTGTTCGCACTCTCTGGTTTGATTCAAAAATTGAAGGTGCTCTGACATCCATCAATGGCAGAGATTCACAGGTCGTTCTCCTTGGTGCAGGTTGGTTCAACTCCCAGAAGCTGCAATTAGTTAAACTTCATACTGCATTAAGAGGGTCCCAACCATAGCAGTAGAAGATAGCCATAGCCAACATAGCACAAATAACGACCCTGTTTTTCTTTCAAGCAAAACGAGTCCTAATCAGGGTTGGCACTAGGCATGTTAGAACTGAAAAATAAGGGAAGTAGTGAAATTAGAATCTCACACATTGATATCTAAGAAAAGTGCGTAGTCCTTTTTTATTTTTCTTGTGTTCTCTCTCTCTTTTTTCCTCTTTCGTCTTTGGTGGGGTTGCAGTGGGGGAGAGGGCTAAAACGCTAGTTAATGATAGATAACCACGGCAACCTATTTAGTGACTAAAAATGAGGCCATCAAAACTACCAAAATGGGAACTGTATGCTTAGTCAAAGAGAATTATTTGCAGCTGTATCTGAAATATTTGAGTTTTAAGGGAGGAAGTATATATTAGACTACAATTGAAGTTTTGTTTGTAGTTCAAATAATAGAGATCGCATTTATAATGTAGGAATGGATACGAGGGCTTACAGATTAAGTTGCTTGAAGGAAAGTGACGTTTTTGAAGTTGATTTCTCTGAGTTGTTGCAAGCGAAAGCCACTCTTCTAAATGCTGCAATAGAACCTCCAAACGGGCATCATCATCAACAAAAAGCAAAATCGTTAAACAGAGTAGCAGCTGATATCAGAAGTAATGACTGGCTTGAAAAGCTTAAAACAGCTGGTTTTGCATCAGAGAAGAATACAGTGTGGGTTCTAGAAGGATTACTCTACTATCTTACCCATTCCCAGGCGCTGCAAGTGTTGGAGACAATAGCTGACCAATGCACCATAACCCACACAGTCCTCTTAGCAGATTTTATGAACAAGCCCTCAACCACTCTTTCAAATTCTGTCTTCCATTTCTACTGCGATTGGCCTGATCATCTACTTCCGTCCCTTGGATTTTCTACCACTACACTATCACAGATTGGAGATATGGATGCACACTTTGGACTTATGCACGATCCATTAAATCTCTTCAATAAAATCCGCAGTCTACCTAGGTCATTGCAGACTCACCCTGATGATGGAAAACCTTGCTGCCGCTTGTACTTGGTACAGGCTTCTGGTTCACCTCAGCTACAACCGTCCCATAAAGACAACCCACAAGTAAGAAAATCTCTGAGTGAGTAGGTTGGATGAATGTCAGACGTCACATCTACCTGCTACCTGCTTCATTACAACTATCCCAAGGAGAGCATGTCGTATTATACTGCCCAAGGTTTCTACACCATACCATATCAGAGGTGTAGTCATACATGTGGAATTCGAGTATGTCATGTGTAAACTATGCAATTAGAACAAACTTGGACCTAAATTGTGCATTCTGAAAGAAGTAGATTACAAGCATTCCACTACAACGTTCACACTTATGCATGTGAAAAGAAATCACCTATGCAAACATCTTTCCCGAAATAGTCTACTATGCCAATGACACGAGCCTAGGAAAATGAACTTATAATAATTAACTGGAATCTCTTGTAACAACTCAATCATTTGCAACAAGTGAAAATTTTTACATCACAAAATGGCAAAATCATCGGCAAATAGTTATTTTATACCTGATTTTCAATGGTTATAAACTCTAAGAGTTGGATATTAATTTTTTATATACCATGGTCCTGTAGGAAGAAATGATAACGTTGAAAGCATCAAAAGAATCGTAAGGACTGCCCCATAGATGAAAGTTAGCTACTATCACTTGCTAACAGAGAGAAATGGTGTTCTGAGAGCACATGAAATGTCTGTCTTTGTTAGTATAATAATGATAACATATGACTGTCAAAACGAATGGATTTACTTATAAATATCTTGATAGCGTATTACACTCCCAGATTTTCAAGATATATAATAATTCCACCAAACTAAATATGAACATGCACATACACGCACACATAAGCACATATATGCTAGGGTGGGTACATATGCATTCAACTTTCAAGCACTAGAATTATCACTAAAGAAGCTAGAGAATGAGCTTAAAAACTTTGCTTTTGGCTTCATTTAATTGTTGTTTGTTTGGACTTAACATAAGAAAAATCTAATTACAAAACAAAATCACGGGACTTAAATTTCAAGACAATCCTTAATACCCTTCTCGAATTTGTCGAGGGAATCTATGGTATCATTTACTGCATCCAGTACTTTTTGTCTGCAATAAAAAGAAAAAAGAAGGGAAGAAAGAAAGAAAATAAGTACACAAGGAAAGAGGTTTAGGTTACCAAAATTTTCTGTGCCTAAATTCACAGGAAAAGAGCCCGACAATATGAAATATATAAAGCAGTGTGGATGAGCTTCACTTAGTTAAAGTCAAGAGAACATTGTATCTGAGTTCCACGGCTGTACTGGCCTTGAAACCAAACTACATTTCCACCAGTTCCATGGATTCTTCAATCTTACAGCGTTGCTACCTTTTAGGAAGATCTAGTGTTGAGTGTCAATTATGCACTCCCAAAGTACAAATTCCCACAGAATCTATATCTAGTTTCACGTCTCTACCATTCCACATTAGTCTTGAGATTTATGCAAGTCATGTAATAAAGCAAATGGACCACCTACTAACTCAACTGCCTAGATTGGAAAAAAGGATCATGCGGCCAGCAGCCTTATCACATAAAGTATGTGGAAGGCAATCTGACATTTTGGATAATCTAATTATTAAGTAATTGTATTTCTCTATTAAAATCCTGATTTGAGATGAGACAAGTAATTGTCAAGATAAACTTTATTTGAGCCTTCAAATGAGGACGTACCTGTTGGAATTGACTTGAATATCAGTTTCATATGCAAGACTATTAAGAGAAGTGAACGAGCTGCATCAGAAGTGCGAGAAAAGATTACAATTGACAACCAGTAGAAACAAAACTAATAACTGTTGGATTATTGAAAGAGAAAATATAATGCATCTCTGCTACTTTGTTGGGAATTTTTTTATCTGAGCTCTTACGAATTTAATCTTTATTCATACCGTCCTCTATACAAATAAAAGTAAAGCAGCTTATCTTATAAAACTAAACGACCAAAGAGGTAAGCGTTACTTATCAAAATCAAAGCGTTATCCAGTTGAAGAAATAATATAACAGGCACCAGCAAATGAAATGGAGGTTACCTTACTAGATCTTTTAATCGACTTTCAGCTTCTAGTTTTATAGGATCTTCGTTTCCAAGCAAGGAGGCGGCATTTTTCACAATCAATTGAAATGTACAGACCTGCAGAATTCAAAAATCGAGACCAAAGATCGTTCAAGCTAAAGATATAGGAAGAACATTTCAACATATCTAACCTTGTTCGATGTGAATTAAGTTTATACTTCAACAAATTCTATGAGTAGCGACATAGGATGCTAAAATAATAATTTGAATTGAACTTCATTTTTGGATAAATCCTGGTTTACAAACGCAATGCATTCAAAACGAATACAGAGAGAAACATAAGCAATGCTAGCAGATTGAACCTCGACTCCAGTGCTCGCTTGGAATTGAACGAACGAATTCCTGTCCTTCAAAACGCAATCCCTTGCAGCAGACTTCAGCATTCTTTGAACGTCCTCCATATCCTTGTTTGAGTAATCGGAATAATTGGCTGCAAGCGGAGACGATGTAAGCAAATACCGAAACAAAGAGATAAAGGATAAACAAGAGACTGTGAAAGACTTACAAAGCATAAGGTAAACTGCATGAAGGCTGTCTCTGGAGGCCTCAATTGGAGCCAAGAGGAACCTGGAGGCCTTCTTCTTCTGCTCTCTCAGCCAATCCTTTGGTCCTGCTGCAAGCAAACCGAATAAACTAGGGCTCCAGGAAGAAAAAATAAACACAAGGAAAACAAAGTAATTAATGAAACAACGTTGCGTTGTTTACTTACAAATGCCGATATCGAAAGCTGTGGCGGGAGCAGGTAGAAACAGAGACGGCATCGCAGAGAGAAATGAGAGCATAGTGAGGCCTCGGCGAGATGTTGTAATCGGAAGGTTATGGCGTAGCGCTTGGCTTTGATCATCCCTCGGTTTATGAGAAAGTAGAGAGAGTGGTGAGACGGCGGATGGAACCGAGATAAGGCGGAATCCGATCGTTGTCATGGTCGGAGAACGGTGATGCTTCCGAGTAATGAATTATGATTATGACCTGAACCATTTTTTTTTTTTTTTCTGGTAAAATATCTTTTTGTCCTCATTATGCAATGAACTGATAATTTTGGTTTTAGTTTTTATATTTTTAAAAGTTTCCTAAAGTCATTTTTTTAATTTAGTTTTTATTTCATCATAATTTTTAAAATTTTATATTTTTATTATTTTGTTTTAATTTCCTAATAGTTAGATTAAAAATCGAAGAAAAATTTAAATCTTAACCTTAAATTTATGAAGTTTAATTACTTTTTATAATTAATTTTTTATCTTCTATTAAATTGTCTTTCAAAATATTGTAATTTTAACCCTTAACAAATTATCACTCCAAATATTATTTTTTAAAAAAATATATGAAATTGATAAAATGTAAAGAAACTAGCATTATTTTTAGGAGTTTGTTTGTCAACCAAATTTATTTTATTGAGATTGATAAATTTAAAAAAAAAAAATTATACACGAGAAAGAATTAGTGAAAATTGATCTTCGATAAAATTACCATATTTAATATAATTTAATGAAATTTTAAAATTTAAAGTTAAAATTGATACAATCTAACCGTTTTTGGATAAAGCTTTATTCATAATAAATAGGGATTTACATAAGATAAAAGATAATTAAATATAATTATGTATAAACTTTAAAATATTACAAAAAAAAAAAATCAATATAACATAACCCGCAATAATAAATATTTTTAAAAAAGATAAATTATAAAATATTCTTGTAATAAGGCGGTTTATAAAATTTACCTGTATTTCCCGCCATTTGAAGGAAACAGAGGATTTAAAACGCAATCTTTGGATTGCATTTCCGATTCAGAAGCGGAATTTGGAAATAGATAAGATATTTTCAAAAAGTGTTTAGGATTAGGAAGATGAAAGAACAACCAAGGAGTTGTGTATTTAATGGATCCCAGACTTGGATTTGAATTTCATCTCTGCCTTCGTCTCTCAAGAACAACAAAGATGGCTCAAAGCGGCGTCCTTTCCAAGACTTTGGATCTGATCTCATCGTTCGGTCTTGATACGAACAAGAGGAAGAACAGGGATTGTGATGATGAGCCGAGGAGGAAGAGGCGAAGAGAGATGGTGTTTTCGAGTACGGTGGAGATGCCGGCGGCGCTGCGACAGAGGATTGAAGCAATGGGAGGCACCGACGTACAAATAGTGATGCAGAAGCAATTGCAAGAAAGTGATCGGAACAAGAACCATGGCCGGTTGTTGATTCCGACGAAGAAGCTGATGAACGAATTCGCGACGGAGGAGGAGGCGGAGTTGATGATGCAAGAAGAGGTTGATCGGAGGAGGAGGATGAGGATCGGAATGGAGGTGGCGATAATAGATGCAGCGCTGAGAGAGAGCGTAATTGGCTTGAAATTGTGGAAGATTGGAAGCGGCCATAACTACTGCTTGGCATCTCAATGGAATTCTTTCGCCGAACAAAACTCATTGGAAAGTGGCGATTACATCCAACTCTGGAGTTTCCGATCAAACAATAATGCTTTTATAGTTAACGGTCACAATCTCTGTTTCGCCCTCGTTAAGCTTGACATCTCCGAGGGGATTTTTAATTTTATTTGATTTTGTTAATTTAATTACACGTAAATTCACCCTTTTGTTTAGTGTCAATAGAGATAGTGAATATGATTTTTTATTTTTTCTTTGGAACTTTCCAATAAAATATATTATTTATTAAATACTAGTCTCACAATTTTTTTATATAATATTATATTTGAAATAACTACTTTTGCCTCGAAACAAAATACTTAAATATTATAATCATTTTTTTAAAATGGTAGATATTATAAAATATAAATAAAAATATCTATAACACGCCTGAGAGCTCATGGTGTTTCTTAAACTGAACTTATTGGCCAAAATAAAATGATGGGTATTTGTAGAAAATTATGAAAATATAATTGTAATAACATATAAAATATTAAAAAAAACTAATTTATTAATCTCGAGCTCGATGGAGAGGGGAATGATGATGGGGATGAGTCCCCGATGTTGGGCTCCATGGAGAAAAATTATCCTCACTCCCACACCCATTTTGGAGATGATCCGCTCATCTAAAATAGGTCCCTACAAAATCACGCTTTGCCGAGTAAATAGATGTTTTTCATAAAATTCATATTAATAAATAAATAATTATTTTACTTATTAGCCTTTATTCGTTTATAAATTTTTTAGCATAAATTTTATTAATGTACTAATTAATTGAGGGAATTGAATTCAGAGAAATATACTAAATAGATAAACTGAAAGAAGAATCTGATGCTAAGAGAATCTATTTTAAAAACTAGTATAGAGTAGATAACGTATCGTAAAAAGATATTTTTTTTCTAACCCAATTTCTGCCATTTTTTCCCTTTTTTTTTCTTTTAAATAAACATGACGTCACTCAATAATTTCTGCCATTTTTTTCCTTTTTTTTTTAATTGGAATGTTTGCTTAATCTACCACACATAAAATAACTCACGTGTAAACTATGATATATATATCAAATATAATATATATGGTAAACTATGATATATAAGAACGAGAGATTGAGAATAAACGACATGCATTAAAATATTAAAATATTAATATATTTTTATTGAAAAGGGATACTTGTGGCTAGTATTGTAAGAGAATATTATCAAATTTAAAAATAAATAAATTATATTTTTATGGATGTCATTATTTTCTGCAATTATAAAACATTAACTTAAATTTTGTAGATTATTAAAATTGTCACTCTTAAAATCAAAATATATTATTAATTAAAAAAATATAAATAAAATAACTCACGTGTTTATATTTTATTTAAATTTCACAGCCAATTATTATAATTTTAAAATTGAAATATAGACCTAAAAATAGTAAATCTGGTTTGATTTTTTTTTTATTAATCTAGATGGCACATGTGCATTACATACTCTAAATAGACATATCTCGTTTTCAATATTTAATATATATTTAAATAACTTAAAATAAGCTCAAATGAATGTAGATATTTCGAATAGTTTATTACTTATTGTACTCGTTTTTAATTTAAAAATATATTATTACAACATGTGTGTTTAAATTATAAAATTAAAAGTAGATTATTGACAAAACGATTAAATTTTATTTTATTATTGTTTTATTGAAAATTAAATTATTTAAATAACATTTTTAAAGTTTAAATATTTAAAATTAACTTTTTTTTTATCAATTTTAAATTACACGTTCCTAAATATGTGGAAGATTTTTTAGTTAAATTTTTGTATTTAATTCTGAAAATTGATACTTAAAATTATAAAAGATGAAAAGATAGGACTTAAAAAATAAAAAATAGCATTTTAGTTTAATTTCAAATAAAAAAAATGAAAATAGGTTGAAGATATGCATAGACTTTAAAAATAAAACTAATAATAAATAGCGTATTTTTATATAACTTTTCGAATAAGGAACTTATATACATGAAAGAAAAAAAAAAGAATATAAAGTCATTTTACAAAAAAAAAAAAAATAATAATAATTGAAGAAAATTCAAAATTCTATACTTTGAATATTGATACTAATTACAATTAAATAAAATTGACTATTAAAATAATTAGTCAACACATCACTTTTCATTTTCAAAATATTCATATTCTTAAAGATTATAACTCTGCAGTCTATCAAATTTATCAAAAATTAAAGAACATATGGTATGATTTTTATTTTTTTTTTAAGATTGTATTTTTCTTATAGGATAAAATTAAAATTAAAAATATTAAATTTTATAGAATTATAAAAGACATAGTCGTTTAATTTTAAATGTAATGATCGTAGAATTAATTTAATAATATTTCTTTCCTTTTAGAATAAATATATCTTATTTTGGAATATTATGATTAATATTTTTATTATTTTAAAGTATAAACGAAAAACGTGTGTAGTTTATTAATATAACTTAGGCTCTTGAAAGTGCAGCATTTATTTGTTTCTTTATTTTGGTTATTTTAACTTGGAAGGTGGGAGTCTTTCCTCTGCTCGCCGTCCCACCGTGTTAGGGTGGGTCTAATTATTTTAGAGAAGTATTCTTAAAAAAAAAAAAAAAAAAAATTAAGTACCAAATTAGGAAATGATCACTACGTTTTTTTAGTGGAAATGAATTTTTTTTATATATCATAATTACAAGAATACTCGTGTAAATTTTTTTATAAACGAGTGTAAAATATTTTTAATTGAAATGATTTAAATTAAAAGTCGTAGATTCATTTTAATATACTTTAAATTTATCCTTATCTTCTAATATATAAAAAATATTTGAAAATAATTGAAAATTGAAATAAAAAATTTGAAATGAGAGAGAATAAATTAAAACTGTGAAATTTTAATTTATAAATTAAATTAAGCCTTGAAATTTGATTTAAAATTGTTAAAGAAAAAAGGAAGACGGTTGGAGAGAAAGAAAATAAAAGAAAATAAGAGAAAAAGAAAGAAATTTACCCGCCAGATTTATGCAATGGACAGTTTGCCGTTGCGAAGGCGAGGAAAGGAGGGGAAAATAAATAAATTTTAAAAAAATAAAAATAAATGGAGGTTGAATCTTCGCCTTCTATTGTTCATCGGCGAAACTGATCGCCGCCGTCCCATCCAGCAGTAATCGTGAACCACAATCTCTCTCTTATAAGCGTTTTCCACGTGGTGCAAACTCACAATCTGTGTTCGAAGATGATTCAGATTCAGCAACCGGAACGAGAAATCTAACCACGAGGCCTCCGCCCAATTTCCGGTGGATAGGGAATCGAAAATTAGGGTTACGATTCCATTTTCCCGAATCATGTGTGATAACTATGATTCTGGGTTCGAATTCAATCTCCTCTACTCTTCATTTGTTTTGGGAATTTAGATTTGTTCTTTCTCTTTCTCCGTCTCTCCCCTCTGCTTCAATTTCCCAATGCGACAGCTCCTAATCCAACATCTGTCGCGTCCATTTCGGAATCTGATTCTCTCTTCTCCTTTTTCTATATTTTTCTCCCTTCATTTTTAACTCTCCCTTCCCTTAAATGCCTATTTAAATTCCCACTATGCGAATTCCCAGGAGACAGGTTTCTCTTTGCCTCTCCTTGTTCTCGCTCGACTTCGCATACCCTTTTTCCTCCTCAAATTTTCTCGGAAATCCCAATTGCTTTATCCGCAAACCCAAAGGGATTCATACCTTAGGTTCGTCTTCTTTTTCTTCTTCTTTTCTTTCCTATATTTAATGTTGGGTTTGACGTCTGTGGTGCATTTACAACTCTTCCAAAATAGGGTCAATTCAAACGTGTTATTAACTCCCCTTTTAATAATTTCTGCGTTCCCTGTTCTAATCTTCTCAACCTTCATTTCCATACGTTGCTCGGTTGTAATTAACGTTTTAGTGTATCTTTTGAGGATTTAGCTCGATTCTGATTCAGGTTCGTTGCTCAATTTGCCTTTTCCTCTCACATATATGTCCCGGTGTTCCTGTCTATTTGTTTTTGTTTATGTATGTATCAAGATTGTATGCTTATTTGTACGTGTTTTCCTGTTTATTGGGGCAAAATTTGAAGATTTTGTCATTGAAGAATTATGTCCTTGAGTGAGATATTTAAAGACCCTAAAAGGGTTCTTTCCTTTTTGTTTGAAAGAGTGGAATTTTTTGTGTGGATTGGATTTGGGTTTGGCTTGGTTTATCAGAAGGTTTGTTTTTTCAAACTTCTGAATTTTTTTTTAAAATGTGTTTACCTCTCCCTTAGAAATGGTATCGAGAACACGATCATCTTGCTTCCTTTATGCGTGAATTGCTGAAGCACACTTAATTTTTGTGTTGTTGAACCTTCTGCTTCTCTGTTTTTTTACTTTCTGTGCAACAATTCCTTCTTCATGCATTAGAGATGGCGATCAATTGTAGAGGGAGGAAATTGGGAGCTCACATTTGTGTTCATAGATAAGCAACTAAGTAGATAGCAAACGTTTCCACTAACAGTAGAATTTGCTCTTTCCTCCAATAATCAGATAATATTTGTGCTTAGGAAGTGGTATTATTGTTATTTCAAGGGCAAGTTTTATAAATTTATATGGAACGAGAGAGTGGTATTGAATGTTCGTCTTTGAGTTCATTGGCGGGTTTGTCTTGGTACCATGGCAGGATTAAATTGGTTGCGTTCTATTGATGCCATGGGTGAGAACCTTGGGACTGTCATGAAGGACAAGAGAACACATTCTTTTGATGTTAACCATGTCGAGGATGACCCGTGCATATGGTCATCATCAATTGAGTGCAAAATTGACATTGGAAAGCAGATTTTTTGCAATAGATCTTTGAATATGAAGAACATTGTTGCCGTTGGCTTTGACATGGATTACACGTTGGCTCAATACAAGGCAGAAACTTTTGAGTCCCTCGCATATGCAGGCACAATAAGAAAACTGGTTTATGATTTGGGATATTCTGAAGAGGTTTGTATATTTTGTTAAAATCGTTTTTATTAGTTTTAGCGTTCTCCACTTAAAGGATTATAAATCTTTAATGCTAAGTTTCTGATGGTGTATGAGTTTCAAGTAACTTTTACTTCTTTAATGCAATTAAAAAAAAAACGAATAAGAAGAGATGTAGCGTTATTTGTTCGTTGATTAAGAATATTTGACCTTCTACAGTTGCTCAGTTGGTCGTTTGATTGGAAATACATGGTCAGAGGTTTGGTTCTTGATAAAAAGAGAGGCAATATATTGAAGGTAACTCTACTCTTTTTTTTTCCCCCCGTTAATTTCTCCTTCAACTTCATTTTATTTTCTTATGCACATAATTTCAATTGACTTGTAACGACTCGAGTAATTGACGTAATGTCTGTGTACAGATGGATAGGCACAAGTATGTCAAAGTGGCCTACCATGGTTTCAAAGAGTTGTCCAAGGATGATAAAGTCGAGACCTACGGAAACACTCTAGTACGGGATTCTTTTGATGAACCTGACTATGCTCTCATTGATACCCTTTTTTCACTAGCTGAAGCCTACTTGTTCGCTCAACTTGTCGACTTCAAGGATAACAATCCAGACAAAGTTCCAGAAGATATCGAGTAGGTAGATTGTATTTGGTGAATTCAATGAACTCTTTACTATATGAGAGACCTGTTATGCATTTTGTTACAACCAATTAAATTATCATCGGACTTGGAGAGAAATGTGTCTTGTGGTATTATCTTGATTTTGATCTGTTTAGTTGCTCTATATTGTTTCTCATTTTGTTCTTCCAGTTATGCTCGAATGTATAAAGATGTAAGAGCTGCAGTAGATTTGTGTCACCGCGATGGAACCTTAAAGCAAATGGTCGCCAAAGATCCCGAAAGGTGAGGATGGAAAGGTTAAATCTCATAGCGAGATGTTTTTTAGTGATCAAATAATTGGTTTCGCAGATGGAATTGGTATCTGTAATGCTGATTTGCTACTTGTAAATCTTGAACTGACTTCTTTTCTTCCCCCCACTTTTGGGCAATGCCTTCTTAGGTATATCAATGTGGATACGTCGATTTTGCCCATGCTTAAAATGCTTAGAGATTCGGGCCGCTCTACTTTCTTGGTGACAAACAGGTATATTAGCTTCATAATATTACTTTTGTCAGGGCATATATGGTTCCTATGGGCTTATGTAATGATCAATACTGATTGCAGCTTATGGGACTATACAAACGTTGTGATGAACTTCCTTTGTAATTCTTCTGTACCAGATGGTGATCAGAATTTGAATTTTGATTGGCTTCAGTATTTCGATGTTGTTATCACTGGCAGGTTAACTAGTTCGATTCAAACTCATCGGAATTCGAATCTTGACATGTTTTTCCTTGAAGCTTTTTCATTGTTGTTTTCTGTTTCATGGTTTTTGTTATAACATTATCTGTAAAACACAGTGCTAAACCAGGCTTTTTCCATGACGATAACCGTGCTAATCTATTTGAGGTCGATGCAAAGTCAGGAATGCTACTTAATACTGATAATGGCTCGCCCATGCCTCAGGTTAGCTGTGTAAAGCATGCTACGGTACCATCAAATGCATTTTGTTTATGGCTTTAAGTTGACCTTAATTCATCGATGAAGGTGGGAGGTGCATCCCTAGCATTGTCACCGACGAAGTTAGCTAAATCCTGTCGAGTTTTTCAGGTATGGGATGAAATCTTCTGTCAAGTTGAATCCTTATCCTTCCAATATGATACTTAAATTGCCTTTACCATTCATTCTGTCAGGGAGGCAATGTCAGGCATCTGCATAAACTTCTGTCCATTGAATCAAGCTCACAGGTGAACTCTTACTTTATCTAGTAGAGGGCTTGGAATAAAAATAGGAACAAAGAATAAAAATAGTGATAGTTTGCATAATAAGTCGATTTTCGTCGGTTTTCGAACATCACTATTTTGTTTTATCGTATTTTTATGCTTAATGTTGGTACTTCACCTCTACTTTTTGCCCCTTTTTCTATTCTTTTAAGGTTCTCTATGTTGGAGATCACATCTATGGAGATATATTACGAAGCAAAAAGGCTCTCGGTATACGCCACGTTTCTCCCTCGTTTGTCATTCCCTTGTGTGTATTCTATTATAATCATCTATCATTCATTGCTCGGCGATTTGGCAGGATGGAGGACTATGCTTGTCGTTCCAGAGCTCGAAAGGGAGGTCGAGCTCTTATGGGAGTTGAGGAAGACCCGCAAGGTTTCCGACTTCGTTCTTTGTCAAAAACTATGCAAGATCATATCTGATCAACTCATGAATCCCTTGATGTAATGTTTAAGTCAACATTGTGCAGGAACTTCAGGAACTAAGAAACGAGCGGAACGTTATTGAAGACAAAATACATCATTTGAAGTGGTCTCTCAAGTACGTACTCTTTCTGGACTTTTTCCTTAATTTGTTCTATTCCCGTCTCTCTCCGTCTTTGTCAACACGTTAAGAACAGCGATGTCGGTTTCACTGAGACGAAAGTAATAATTCTTGGTATAGGTTTGAAGACGTTGAGGCTGATGAGAAGGACAGATTATCTGGTGAACTACATCAGCTAGAGGTGATGCTCATTATCATTATAATTCAACTGTAACACGAACGATGAATACGAAATATTATTATCATCATTCTGCATGAAAATGAAGCTTCACTGGTTTCGTTTTACAGGGTGAACGCGAACGAGTGCGGCTGAGCCATCAAGACGCGCTCCGGGAATGTCACCGACAGGTATTACAGGTATTATGGTTCAAAATTTGGAAGAAACTTAAAGAAAAAGGTTCATTCCCTTGAAATAAATGGCAGTTTCATGGAGTTTGGGGACAGCTGATGAAAACTGGATATCAAAACTCAAGATTTGCTCATCAAGTAGAGAGATTTGCATGCCTTTACAGCAGCCAAGTCACCAACTTGAGCTTATACTCCCCAGATAAATACTACAGGCCGAGTGAAGATTTTATGCCCCATGAATTTGGGATCGTCTGTTTGTGAAAATAGTTCAAAAAAATAAAAACTGTGTGTGTTCATAAATTCCTTCCCCCTCTGATTTGTTAGCAGTGTTAGTACATAGTCGCACTTGCACCATTCAACATTTCAGAAAAAAAATTGTATTTGTAATTTCCTTGACATTTACAAAAATAATTATTTGGTAATTGTTCTTCATTTTTTGTTCAAATTTTTCTATTACAAATTTTAGAAATAAAAATTTATTGCCATTCTAGTTTCTTTTTTAATATAATTTACTAATAAATAAATATTTAGAACGAAAAACAACTTAGCTAGAGTTTTATTGAAATTTATGAATTTTAGTAAAATTATTTAACAAAATCAAAATATATATTAGTTAGAGAGAGGATATTTTTTTTTTCAAAAATTAAATTTATTTAAATAATACCTATTATCATTTTAGATAAAATATTTTTATTTTACAAGGGTGGGGTGACCATTTTCATATATCTTTTTGGTATGGAATCAAGCCAACTTGAAGGACTAATTTTGGGCAATGCTATTGATTTATAAATTATATTTTAAAATGTCATCGAAACTAAGTCGGATATAGTTTTGATATTTTTTCAATTGATAAATAAAATATTGACATTATATTAAAATAAATAAATGCAACAAGTTCGTCGTTAGTTTTTGAAAATTGAGAGTGTCGTGAAAATTTGTCGTCAAACATGGTATAATATATTATAAGTGAGAGATAACTTTCCCGAGAAAAGATGATAGAGATTCGGGATAAAAATAATTTTTTTTTTTTAAATAAAAGCATTTAAATGAATTAAAATAGAGAATATTAGCATGGATTTGAGTTTTGCTTCCACAAAAAGGAAGGAACCAACTGAAAAGGTATTGCATCTTCAACCCCATAGCCAAAAGGAAAGATGAGATGACCCACATTTACAACTTGCCATTTAAATACAAAATAAATAAATATTTTAAGTGCCCATTTCAATTATTAAAAAAATATATATATATATTGTACTAAACCTATTAATTATAAATATATTTGATGATTTTCTATTTATAATCAATTCATTGCTGATTTAAATTATTAATTTTTTTTAAAAGGTTTTCAAGAAAATTTTATTTTGTTTAAAATACATTTTTTTAAAAGTTATTCTAAATACGTTACTATTCTTATTTTTTAACAAAATTTTTAATTTAGTAAGTCATTTTTACTCAAGACTTTAATTCTCATAAAATTGAAAATAAAATACGAGTAAATAATAAAAATAAAAATAAAAATTCGAATCCAAAACTACAAATTGTGATTAAAAGAAATAAATACTCGTCGTGATTCTTTTAATTAAAAATTTTATGATTCAATTTAATAAAATTAAATATTAAATATTAAAATTAACTATGAAGTTAAAAAAAAAAAAAAAAAATTACATTTTGAAAATATTAGTAGAAAAGTTAAGAATAGCTGTCAAAATAGACCCGAAAATGAATTTGGAAAAGAAATCGAAATTAAAGAGGAGAAATTCTCATCCCAACGAACGTGGATGATAAGGATTCCAAAATATACTAAATCCTTTTTGTTTTTTTCCGATCCCCCTTTTAATTCTTTCTTCACTTTTAGTCCTCCAACTTTGGAAAATTAGAGAATCCCCCCAAAATATTTATTAATATATAATACTAAAATATAAATTTAATTATTACACTCCTAATCCATAGATTTTTAGCATTGTTTTCAAGATTTTTCAAAATTACCTTCGAAAATAATCCAAATATTAGAATTTCATTTTTTTTCTATATTAAAAATAATTATTTAACCATATCTTAAAAACTATTTAAATCTATCTTTATTTAAATCTATTTAATAATTAAAAAAAAAAGAAGAAAAAAAAACATAGGCTCTAATTACTAATTATTTAAATCTAAAATACAAAGAATTAATTTAATAATTAAAAAAAGAAAGTTGGTGGGTGACCATAAATTTTGACTAAGAAACAAGTTGGCAATGAAAAAGAATGGAAGAAAAGAATAGATTTTTAAGAATAACTTTACGTCATTTCAAAAAATAAATAAAATTTATTTATTTATTTTATTTTGGTCTATAAATAAAGAAGCGACGGGGAGATGTATTTGCAGGTAAGAAAATTAATTATTTATAAAAATGACGTCATCGTCATCTTCTTCTTCATCTTCATGCTGGAGTTCAAAGCAAAACAAGGTGTTTGAAAATGCTCTGACGGTGTACGACAAGGACTCGCCGGACCGGTGGCAGAAGCTGGCAAGTTCCGTCGGAGGGAAGACGGCGGAGGAAGTGAAGAGGCACTACGAGATGCTGGTGGAGGACGTCCACAATATTGAGACCGGCAGAGTTCCTCTGCCCAATTACTCTAAACCTTCTAAACACTGTTCCTCCAACACCTTTCTTGACGAAGAACAAAGGCAATTATCCTCGCTATCTTTAAATTAATCATTTTTATTATTATTTTTCGTTACCAGATAAATTATTTAGTAAAATATCTTATTTGATTGGAGTTCGAATTTATTTGTTCGGATAAATGTAATTAGGGAAGAAGTATATAATATCATTATACAGTTAATATTAAGCGATTAAAAAATATGTCGCTGTCGATCAAAAGTAGTGACACCCATTTAAGTACGAAAGACATTATTTTTAGATTGGATTAGATCTTAAGATTATAATTAAAATATTATATCTAATAGTTACTATCTATAACAACAAAGTGTACATTTACGTTTATTCATATTTTATTTATTGATTAATTCTAATTGTGGATGCTCTCTCTTTGGTGTATGCAGATTGAAGGGTCTAAAGCTGAAATGATTGCAACAAAACACAGAAGATTGAAGTATATATGTACATATATGTATGTATATATATATATATATATATATGTTATTATGTATACGTATAAATATATGCATGTGTTTCATGCAGTATAAAATGCAATATATTTTCATTAATTTTATATGTCATATGTATCTAATTAATCTTACCACTTCTACATATATTAATGTTTATTTTTACTAAAATTATTTGGTTAAATTATAAATTTAATCTTTACATTTTTTATTAAATATAAAGTTTATATTTATATGTAATTAATCGATTAATTATAATTAAAAGATGATACGATAACTCTAGAAGATAATTTAATCCAATAACTAATAATAATAATGGAACCATATTTTTAAAATAAAAATATAAAAACCCGAAAAGTAAAAGAGAATTCAAAATGGGCCTAGGGCTTACGAAATGGGCCTAGGGCTTACATTTGGGATTGGGCTCTGGGCAATTCGGTCCACAATTGGAGAGGCCGATCGGACCTGGAGGCTCCGGCAAGGCAACCTGCAAAGTCATGGCCCCAAAAACTCTCACAGCTTCTTCTTCTTCTTCTCCAGATTCCAATATTCTGAGAGTCGCAACAAAAACGATGCAAAGGATCTTCGCTTTCAGTTTATGCTCGATTAACCTAACAGCCGATTAGGACCAATCAATCAACTTCTCTTCTCGCCATGTCATTTTCTTCGCGCTCCGCAAAGCTCGCCCTTCTGGCTCTTCTCTCTGCCTCCACTTTGTATTGCTTCTACAAGTCCCGCCGTCTCAGAAAGCTTAAACTCTCCTTAAACCCTACGGGTTGTTCTCGCAGACCCAAACTTTTCTTCATTTCCCAAACTGGTACCTCAAAGGCCCTAGCGCATCGTCTGCTTAACGTTTTGAATTCAAATGAGTTGGCGTTTGATATTGTCGATCCCAAGGATTTTGAGCCTGAAGATCTTTTTAAGGAGGCTTTAGTTTTGTTCGTTGCTTCCACCTGGGAAGATGGAGGACCGCCTCCTCATGCTAAATTCCTCGCCAATTGGCTTTCTGAGAGCGCGGAGGATTTCAGAGTTGGTTCGTTGTTGCTTTCTCAGTGTAAGTTTGCTGTATTTGGCGTTGGTAGTCGAGCTTATGGAGAGACATTCAATGCGGTTGCAAGGGATTTTTCCAAGCGGATGAAGGCATTGGGTGCGAAGGAGATATTAGCGGTCGGTGAGGGAGACGTTGACGGAGGTGATATAGATAAGTGTTTTGATGATTGGAGTCGGCAATTGTTGAAGGTTTTGAAGGTTGATGCGGTGGGCACTGGTGCGGATTTATATTCTGGGATTGACGAGGACTTTGATGCTGAAAGTGTTGAGGAGGATGACGAAGATGCCGACCCTGGGGAGGAGGACATCGTTGATCTTGAGGATATTGCTGGGAAGGGTCCTTCGAGAAAGTCTACCAATGTAGTCGAAACTAATGGGAAATTGAATGGGAAAAAAGTTATGGTTACCCCGGTGATTAGAGCGAGCTTAGAAAAGCAGGTAATTTATTCGGCTGTTTATCTGCATTTTATTTCTCACGATGAGATGATGAAGAAAGCTTTCGGCAGACATTACCTTTAATCATAGATTCCAAATTTGTGTTTCCCGGTCCACCCCCAAATTGTCGGAATTACTGCTTGTTTTCTAGGCAATTTCTGGGTGCCTTGTGAATCAATACGAATCTGGAATGACTTGATAGTCTATCTTTTGCAACGGTCTTAGTTGAAGCCTTACTTCTTTTCCATTTGTTGTCTGATTGGCTCTTGAAATGGTTTTTTCTTATGCAGGGGTATAAAATTATTGGCTCACACAGCGGTGTGAAAATATGTAGATGGACAAAGTCTCAGCTTCGAGGACGAGGAGGTTGCTATAAGCATTCGTTTTATGGCATAGAAAGTCATCGGTAATGTCCCATACATTCTATTTTGCTTGACCACAGCGAGTCTTCTTTCCTTTTCACGGTCATTATAATATTTGATTTTTTGATACATTTAGTGGCAATGGCATAGAACTCTCCGTTTCATAGATTAGAATTAAGATGTATGCCTATTTACTTTGGTAAATGAATGATTTCTATTCTTAGGAGGTTGGATGATAGAATATGATTGAAGACTGCTAGGTGAATGGAAAAATAAGAATTTGGTGGCAGTGGCCTTCAAATCACTGAAAGTTACTAGAGTGTTTTTGGTGGCATCAGAGAAACTTTTGTTTGATATTCTTTGCTCGGCCAAATTTTACATCCAGCTGCTACTGATTTTATTTTTGAAATCTTTACTGTTTTGCCTACGTGACTGATATCTTCAATTTCCATAACATAAGCAGAAAGTTTCATGCTTTCTCATATTTTCATTACATCCTTTTTATGTTGTTATGCTGATGCAAAATGTATGTTGAGAGATCATTTTCTTTGATTTATCAACTTGCAATATGAATCCTTCTTCATCCTTGTTAAGTTTACTTCTCTGGCATCTGGGAACTTGAATTTAAAGTTGACTCCACTTTCCTTCCACTCAAGAAGGCTTTTCCTAAGCTCTTAATTTTTTAATAGACTGGTAGAAACTATCTATGATTAGTGCTGTTGCTTGGATTAACTTTTCAATTTTGAGAACAGATGCATGGAGGCAACTCCGAGTTTGGCCTGTGCCAACAAATGTGTTTTCTGCTGGAGGCACCACACAAATCCAGTAGGAAAGAGTTGGCAGTGGGAGATGGATGATCCATTGGATATTGTGAATTCAGCAATCGATTTACACACAAAAATGATCAAGCAAATGAAAGGTGTTCCAGGTTAGTGCTCCTGTTGTACTGCAGTCACTGGGTTGAGTAATATTTTCATGAAGATTGACATTTCTTGGATAGACTTAATTGCTCCCGTGATTTGATGGTTGTAGAATCTGAATTTTTTTTGTAAATCATCAATATTGTTAATGTTTGTTATTTCTTTTAAAACTGTCAAAGAAATGCGCTGGCATTGCATGAGTTTTATGGCTAAATAGATATCAAGAGTAGTAGACCGCAAAGTAACGGCATTGTATACAGTTGAATCCCCCTTTGGGAGTTATAGAGATCTTTTAAGGAAGTTCAAGTAATATATAATCTAAGATTCCTGAAAATTTGGCTGCTTGAGAATATAAAGTTGCGATATTTTATTTTATATTACCTATCATTGAGAATCTTGTGAGGATGCTTGAAGTGAGTGTTATTTTTTAAATTTCCTTTTATTTGCAAAATTTTAAGTTTTTTTTTTTTTTTTTTTTTTTTTTT